AGGTCAGGTCGACCACCAGGTCGACATCACTCCTGGTCGACCTACCACCAAGTCGACCAGCAGGCCTGATCGACCAACAGTCCTGTCAGCCGACCACCCAAGTCGGCTGCCCCAAGTTGGCGTCACCGAGTCGACGCCCTCTGCAGGTCGACTTCCCCGGTCGACCTCCCCGTGCAGTGGCCCCCATGCAGGTCAACCTCCTCGTCAACCAGCTCGCCCACTGCTGCAGGTCGGCTGCTCCCCTCACACCCGACCACGAAGTCGGCTCCGCCCAAGCGAGGACGGGGCCAACACACAACTCCCGTTGACACCCATGAGCCATGTATGGGTACCCATGAGCCATGTATGGTACCCATGAGCCATGTGTGGGTACCCATGAGCCATGTATGGGTACCCATGAGCCATGTATGGGTACCCATGAGCCATGTATGGGTACCCATGAGCCATGTATGGTACCCATGAGCCATGTATGGGTACCCATGAGCATGTATGGGTACCCATGAGCCATGTATGGTAACCATGAGCCATTTATGGTACCCATGAGCCATGTATGGGTACCCATGAGCCATGTATGGGTACCCATGATCCATGTATTGTACCCATGAGCCATGTATGGGTACCCATGAGCCATGTATGGTGCCCATGAGCCATGTATGGGTACCCATGAGCCATGTATGGGTACCCATGAGCGATGTATGGAACCCATGAGCCATGTATGGGTACCCATGAGCCACCTATGGGTACCCATGATCCATGTATGGGTACCCATGAGCCATGTATGGTACCTATGAGCCATGTATGGTACCCATGAGCCATGTATGGTACCCATGAGCCATGTATGGTACCCATGAGCCATGTATGGGTACCCATGAGCCATGTATGTGTACCCATGAGCCATGTATAGTACCCATGAGCCATGTATGGGTACCCATGAGCCATGTATGGGTACCCATGAGCCATGTATGGGTACCCATGAGCCATGTATGGTAGCCATGAGCCATGTATCGTACCCATGAGCCATGTATGGTACCCATGAGCCATGTATGAACCCATGAGCCATGTATGAGTACCCATGAGCCATGTATGGGTACCCATGGGCCATGTATGGTACCCATGAGCCATGTACGGGTACCCATGAGCCATGTATGGGTACCCATGAGCCATGTATGGGTACCCATGAGCCATGTATGGTAGCCATGAGCCATGTATGGTACCCATGAGCCATGTTTGATTACCCATGAGCCATGTATGGTACCCATGAGCCATGTATGGGTACCCATGAGCCATGTGTGGGTACCCATAAGCCATGTATGGTACCCATGAGCCATGTATGGATCCCCATGAGCCATGTATGGTACCCATGAGCCATGTATGGGTACCCATGAGCCATGTATGATACCCATGAGCCATAAATGGGTACCTATGAGCCATGTATGGTACACCATGAGCCATGTATGGGTACCCATGAGCCATGTATGGGTACCCATGATCCATGTATGGTACCCATGAGCCATGTATGGGTACCCATGAGCCATGTATGGGTACCCATGAGCCATGTATGGTACCCATGAGCCGTGTATGGGTACCCATGAGCCATGTATGGGTACCCATGAGCCATGTATGGTACCCATGAGCCATGTATGGTTACCCATGAGCATGTATGCGTACCCATGAGCCATGTATGAGTACCCATGAGCCATGTATGGGTACCCACGAGCCATGTATGGTAACCATGAGCCATGTATGGTACCCATGAGCCATGTATGGGTACCCATGAGCATGTATGCGTACCCATGAGCCATGTATGGTACCCATGAGCCATGTATGGTACCCATGAGCCATGTATGGTACCCATGAGTCATGTATGGTACCCATGAGCCAAGTATGGGTACCCATGAGCATTTATGGGTCCCCATGAGCCATGTATGGTAGCCATGAGCCATGTATGGTACCCATGAGCCATGTATGATACCCATGAGTCATGTATGGTACCCATGAGCCATGTGTGGGTACCCATGAGCCATGTATGGGTACCCATGAGCCATGTATGGGTACCCATGAGCATTAACGGGTACCCATGAGCCATGTATGGTACCCATGATCCATGTATGGGTACCCATGAGCCATGTATGGGTGTACCCATGAGCCATGTATGGGTACCCATGAGCCATGTATGGGTACCCATGAGCCATGTATGGTACCCATGAGCCATGTATGGGTACCCATGAGCATATATAGGTACCCATGAGCCATGTATGGTAGCCATGAGCCATGTATGGTACCCATGAGCCATGTATGGTACCCATGAGCCATGTATGAACCCATGAGCCATATATGAGTACCCATGAGCCATTTATGGGTACCCATGAGCCATTTATGGGTACCCATGAGCCATGTATGGTACCCATGAGCCATGTATGGGTACCCATGAGCCATGTATGGTACCCATGAGCCATGTATGGGTACCCATGAGCCATTTATGGGTACCCATGAGCCACGTATGGGTACCCATGAGCCACCTATGGGTACCCATAATCCATGTATGGTACCCCATGAGCCATGTATGAGTACCCATGCGCCATGTATGGGTACCCATGAGCCATAAATGGGTACCCATGAGCCATGTATGGGTACCCATGAGCCACCTATGGGTACCCATGATCTTTGCTACTGCTGACACTGCTAGACTGGCCCACGTGAAGTCGGAGCTGCAGAAGAGACACACGTGCACAGACCTGGGTGAGCTGCGCAGCTATCTTAACTTGCAGATCACCCGGGACAGAGCACGGCGCACCATTACCTTGACTCAGTCACACATGGTGCAGCAGGTTCTTCAGCGCTTCCGCTTCACGTACTCCTCTCCACAGTCCACTCCTCTGCCTACTTGCCACTCGCTCTCAGCTCTGCCTTCGGATGAGTCAGTAGAGCCGAGTGGCCCGTATCCAGAGCTTGTGGGCTGCCTCATGTACCTGATGACCTGCACGCGACCTGACCTAGCATACCCTCTTAGCATCCTGGTACGCTTTGTTGCTCCTGGGAGACACCGACCGGAGCACATGGATGCAGCTAAGAGGGTGTTGCGCTACTTGTGCAGTACGTCGGGCATGGGGCTCGTGCTTGGAGGACGGGCTCCAGTTGTCCTCACTGGTCACGCAGACGCTTCTTGGGTTGACGACTTGGCTACGCAGCGGTCGTCACAGGGTTACACTTTCAGCCTTGGTTCCGGCTCTGTTTCGTGGCGGTCTACCCGTTCGTCTTCTGTTCTCAGCTCCAGTTGTGAGGCTGAGATCTACGCAGGGGCCATGGCTGCTCAGGAGTTACGCTGGCTCACCTACCTGCTGACCGACTTGGGAGAGCCGCCTCGTTCTCCTCCAGTTCTGTACGTCGACAACAAGGCCATGATTGCCTTGTGTCAGGAGCACAGACTGGAGCACAGAACGAAGCATATAGCTCTGCGCTACTTCCTTGCTCGAGAGTTGCAGCAGCGTGGTCAGCTTCGTCTTGCTTACGTGGCCACTCGGGCCAACACTGCTGATATCTTTACCAAGGCACTGCAGCCTTGTGATCATCAGCGTTTCTGTACTGTTCTAGGTCTTGTGCCCACTGGGCCACACTTGCTTACTTCTTGACTTTGCTTGTACTGTGATCTGTATACATATGCCTGCATGCTTACAGTTGCTAGGTTGTGATCACTGCATTGTTGTTCGCCTTTATATAACTCTGCATGTGAACTGGCCTTGTGGCCATTTGCTTGTGCTCAGAATGCGTGGTGACGTCTTGATCCACCCTTAGCTTGCTTTGCTTCTCTTGACTAGTCTTGTGACCTCTTGTTCTCCCCCACTTTGCCTATGGGGGTGTGTCAAACATATATGCTGTAGCCTGTGTAGGCTGTAGTGGGGTAGCCCATATGGGGTACAACACTTTAGGGTTTCCTACTTGTACTCCTCATGCTGCTAAATTCAATCACTCCTCGTTCTATCTTTCACACGTCCCACCAGCCCAATCACTCCCTGTCTTGTTTTGTGCTTAGCAGACCCTCAAATGCACCCCAATGATTTTCGTGCTGACAACATGAAGCTCAAGCGTTCCTTGGACACCTTGAAGGCCTTGAAGGCTTCTCTGCAGAATGCCAACGAGTGGTCGAAAGAGGTAGTGTTGGACGTTATGGACAGTCTAAGCTCTTATCTGATGTAGCTTCTTACAGCATTCATAATTGGTTGATACACGCGGGCTAACTACCCGTCTGTGCGCACAAATGCAGATTGGCAAGCTCAAGGAACTCAAGAAGAAAGATAAGGTTATCTACTATCAACAGGTACCGTAAGTCGCTTTTATGGCAACTTCGCTACGTTTTTCATGTATCACCTTAAGATTTTTTATTTTGTGTGTCTCAATCCAGAAATTGATCAGTCAACTGACGAAAGATCAAGAAGATTAAGTGGGTCAGAAGGAAGTAGGATTTGCAAGAACAATCTATTTATCTTCCCTCCTTAGGGTCATATCATATACATAGAGATGATACGTAATCAATCTTAAATGGAAGCCATTGATTCAGTTACCGTACTGGTTTTGAAATCTGTGCACTGCTTCGCAATGCACTGTGTGCAGCAGAGTTACAGCCTAGCTAAAGCCCAGCTATAGCACAAATACAGCTCATCCCTAACATTTGAGTCCACGGCTTTGCTCTTCTTGGTCTTGCTCTTCTTCTTTTACTTCTTAGATGCCTTTTTTGCTACCTCCGCCTCTGCTGCCTTCCTGGCAGCTTCCTCCTCTCCTATTGGCCTGCCGTGTGAGAGTAAAAAAGGGAGGGGAGTGGGTGAGGGAGGACTGGGGTGAGCGAGAAGTGAGTAATGCATGATCAAAGGAATCACAGTGGCAGCAACGTGCTGATTTCACATGCTAAGCTGCAATGGGAAGGCGCTACCGGTATGGTTAATTGCGATGGCAACAGGGGTCAAAGGGCAACATGCGCTCACCTGCCACGGCTACCATATGCTGACCTGCCACGGCTATCGGCTCTGGCTCTGCTGCCTCCTCTGTTGACTCTGCTGCCGGGGAGGACTCCACTGAGGGGCCCGGCAGGAACGATGGCAGGCGCTGGGGGAAGGGAGGGAGTTGAGGGCAGCGCGAGGCGGAGAGGGAAACAGATACGAGCGCGATGACTTGATTAGGAGTAGGAGAATTCAAGAGAAGAGTGCCTCAGGTGTTCAACAATAGCACAAGAGAAAGGTTCTCCTGTAAGGGGTGAATTTGAGAACTCCTCCTACTCCAAGCGGGCGGCGAGCGAGTCTCACTCACATCAAGAGCAAAGTACGGACGCGGCCGGCGAGCAGCGAGTCGAGGAAGGCCATGCCCCCAGCTCACCTTGAGCTCCCCGCCATGCCCCCAGCTCACCTTGAGCTCCCCGCCATGCCCCCAGCTCACCTTGAGCTGGCAAACAAAGAAGGTTTGGGTTAAGGATCCAGGCTCCAGCCAGGGGAGGTGGGATCTGCACCAGCACGGTGCAGTGCGGGTCTGACTGGAGGTTGCGCGCGTGCATGCCGAGCAGGGAAAGTAAGACCACGGGTCTGGGGGAAAGGCATGGGCGGAAAGGAGGTTTTGGGGTTTGCGGGCTGCGGGGGAACTCAGGGGACAGTGGGGCCTGAAAGGGTGGATGGGGAGGAGGGAGAGGGAAAGGAAGGGGGGAAGGGCGTTGACAAGGCGACTCCAGAAGTGATGCCTTCAGTTGGAGTCTTGGAGTCCAGAAAGGCTCCACTTGGGGAGGGAGGGGCTTTGCACGATCGCACTGGAGGTTGTGCGAGTGCACGCGCAGGGCGATAGCAGGAACACGGGGTCTGAAGGAGGGGAGAGGAGGGCGAGGTGGAGTGCGGGAAGGTGGTGGTGGCATGGCAAGGAATACGGCGTCTCACAGGCGTGCGGAGAAAGGGGTGTCTGCGGCAACAGGAGGGGGAGCAGTGAGCAGGAGGTGGGGCTGAAAAGGGAGTCCGGTTTAGCAGTGCGCCATGGCGCCATGGCTCAACCTACCTCTCCTTCCTCCTGCCCACTCACTACCATCCCAATCCAGCCTCGCTCACCCACGCCTCCTCTTCCCCACTTCTTCCTCCCGATTCCCCTTACACCCACTACCCCCCCATCGCCCCCCACCCCCCATCTTTCATCCGCTCCTCCTAGCAACCACCCACTCATGGCCGTCAGCATCTGTAGTTAAGTCGACAAGGGACCCAAAGCGGTACCCCTTGCGGCCACCCCTTCACTCACAGTCCCCTTACGCCCCCCACACCCGTTCCCCCCACTCCCACAGTCCCTCCACTCCACCCCACTCACGGCCATCAGCATTGGTGGGGAAATCCACGCGCGGCCCCAAGGGGTACCCTTGAGGCGGTGGTGCGAGCGGGGCATGCTGTAGCAGAGCGGGGCTGCGCGTACTGCTACCACCCCGCTCCACAGGCTGCGCACTGCTTGCTACCACAGCGCTGGGCCGGCAGCCCGTGGGCGCTGATGCGCTCTCCCCTCCCTCTGAGACAGGCGAGCGGAAGAGACCGGAGCGAGTGGCGGACACTGAAGGAGGGGGGAAAGGCAGAAAAGGGTGAGAGAGTGGAAGCGTGAAGAGGGTGAAAGGTGCGGGGAAAAGAGAAAGGGTGAGAGGGGGGAAGGGTGCGAGAGGGGAAGGGTGCGGGAACGAACTCTGGCTTGTGGGGAGGGAAGAAGGGCGGAGGGGAGGGGAGGAAGGGGAACGGTACCGCACTCACCCACCCTCACTGCACCACTGCTAATCACCCGCCCCTTTGCACCACTGCCACTCACCCGCGCGCGCCCACCCTCCCACTGCCCGCCCTGACTGCACCATCTCCCGCAGCGGCGACGCCCCTGGATCCGCCTCGCCCGCGCCCCATGCAGCAGCTTGGCGCCCCGCGCCTCGCTCCACGCCCTCCGCCCACGGGGGAGAGCGCGCTGCGCTTGGCGGAGTGGCGCAGCAGTCCGTGCGGAGAGGGATGCGGCGGCTAGCGAGTGCGCGGAGGAGAGCAGGGCGTGGCGTGGCATGGCAGGGGATGCGTGGAAGGGAGACCCGCGCCGAGTTGCGAAGCTAGGGAATGGTCCACACACACGGGGAGAAACAAAGAGGGGTAAGCGGCGCACGTGCAAGGTAAGACAAACACAACGTAGGCACACATGTGAATGGCTGGGTGCGAGTGGTGCTGATACATGGCTGAGTCACACGGATGAAGGCAGCGGTGAAGGGAGCGTGAGATGCACCATTCACCCTCATATGCTACCACACCATTCACCCTCATATGCTACCACACCATTCACCCTCATATGCTACCACACCATTCACCCACCCTCTACAATCACAATCCACTCAATCGCACACCCCGTACACGCACCCATCGCCCCGCGCGCGCACTCATCGCCCCGCGCGCGCACCTCGCCGCTACCAGCGGTGAGCACCAGCTGCCACTTGCGTCCAGGCGATGCCGCCCCTCCCAGCGCCGCCAGCCACGCCTTGCTCTCCTCTGCGCCCACCTGCGCCCACCTTGCTGCGCGCCGCCTCTGCCAGCACCGCCACCGCCGCCTCAATCTCCGCCGCCTTCGCGCCGCGTATTCCGCGCGCGCACCCGCGGCGGCCGGCGCGCTGGAGGGCAGCGGGGAACTGTCGGTTGGGCAGGGTAGCGGATGAGAGCGGTGGGGACAACACACGCGGGGAAACGAGAGAGTACGGGCTGTAGCCGGGAATCAGGGCACGCCGCACGCATGCACGCCCATGCGCACAATGCATGAGGGCAGAGACGCGCAACCTACTGAAGCGAGCGCGCAATCCACGCGAGCGCGCAATCCACGTGAGCGAACCGCTGTTTCCCTCACGCATACCCTACAGACGTACCAGTGACGACTGCGCGCCGTAGCGCGGTCACCGCTGAAGGCGCGCTCATGGGGGAATGTCGGCTCACACCCGCACCGCGTGGAACGCGCGCACAGCGCGCCGATAGTGACGAGTGTAGCACGAAGGGCGCCCCGAGAAAAGGGGATGGGCGGCAAAGAGAGAACGTTTGGACATCGAGTGCGCCGTGGAGGCGTGGCGCGGCGGCGAGACGACACGGCGAGGCTGGTGGTCGCTGGATTGCGCTGCAGGTGGAAGGAGTGAGTTGAACGAAACAAGCTCAATAACCGGGGATGGGGCTGAGAGCGGGGCAACTTGGTTTCAGCCATCCCCTAAGTTGACTCGCAGATTTTGTACGCGTCGTTGAGAAATTGATGCGGTGTTACAAGCCATCAGTGAAGCAATAACAACCAATCACCCTACACAACCGCCTCACAATACAATCCTTCATGCGACTCTTTTCACCAGCCTTCGTCACGAGACAGCCACGAAGCATGGCACTCTTCTGATCTGAGCACTAGCCACTTGCTAGTTCTCACCACATCGGCAGTTTTTCAACACGGCATGACATGATCGCACGGCATGATCGCCTGCAGAACGCCATTCGTTTCACACACCGCAAGCCTGCCACGCCCTGCCACGTCCCTGCGCCGGCATTACCGCCGACTTTCTCGGCGGCACTCTCCTGCCTGCTGCAGATAATAGCGCCTCGCGCTCCCTCGGTATTACCGACCGCCATTGCCCGCATAATTTCAGCCCGCGTGCCGCGTGGGGCGGACGTGCCGCGTGGGGCGACCGTGCCGCGTGGGGCGGACGTGGCGTGTGAAGCGCGCGATGGCGGGCAGCGCGGAGATGGTGCGCGACCTGGTGGCGGGCGGGGAGTCCGTGCTGCTCATGGGCGCGCCATGCCATGCCCCATGCCATGCCCGGGTCCATACTCTGTACGTTATGTTGTGCATGCTGTGCGTGTGTGGGTGCGCGGCGTGGACGTGCTGCGATGGTCGGTAGGTGCTCGTAGCGAGCGAGGGGTGTCAGCACATTCTGCTCTGCGCCTGCTCAACACCATCGTGGACAGCCGTACCAAGATCATTTACGCGCTTTCTTCCTTCCGCGGATTGGCCGCCGCTTCGCTAACAGCGTCTGCAACAAGGCCCACGTCCACCGCAACAAGCGGTATGGCCCGCTCCCCCGCTCGCCTCGCGTCGCTAGTCGCACCCGTCGCCTCTCTATGACCCTCCCCTCTCCCGTCGCCCTTAACGTTGTACCTTATTGCACCATTCACCACTTCCCATCACCCTCATTCACCGCGCTCCATCACCCAGGTAATCGCGCCCCCCGTATTCCTGCAACTTGCTGCTCTTCTCCTTTCTTCGTCGCATGATGCGTCGCCTGGTCGTTACTTCAAATTCCTGACTGCCTGGTGTCGGCCGCAGCTTCACGCGAGAAACTCTTGCCTGAGTGTGAATTCGCATAGTTGCTGCCATGTTGCCACCCTTCACGTCAGTATCATGGGTGGTAGGCCAGAATGTTAGCCATATTGGATTGCACGCGCAAGGCGTACCGCCCTTGCAGTGTCGTACCGTGTCATGCCATGCGATTCCATTTTCAGTGTGGACGGCTAACAGTTACAAGCTCATAACCACCGATTTGTAGCGGTACTCGGTATTTGAGGTTTCAACACCATCCGCTTGCCTGGTCCGCTCATGCGCGCGCGTCCCTTTCCTCCCTCTGCCCTATGCGTGTGGTGTGCGGCGGGCGCGCGGGGGGTGGCAGGGCAGCGAGCTATCGGCGGCGGAGCTGGAGAATGTGATGGTGATAGTGAGCAACCCGCGGCAGTTGAACATCCCCGACTGGTTCCTGAGCAGGCACAAGGACAGCAAGGACGGCCGCTACTCGCAGGTCGTGTCCAACGGACTCCACATGAAGATGCGCGACGACTTAGGCGCCTCAAGAAGATCAGGTCTGTCCACTGCACTCACCCACTTAGGCGCCTCACATGTTGCTTCGCTAGGCCAGTCATCACGCTCACCACGATTAAGAACGCCATCACCAACACCATTGGGCTTGTCACGTTAAGGGTGTCATGGAGGACCGTGGGATGCATAGAGGGCGGAGGTCGTGGCAGGGGTGCTGGGGTGAGTGAAATTGCTGCTCAACTGTCCTTGTCAGTGCACAGTTGCTGCCCTGATGCTGATTGACCTTGTCTCTACCTGACAAAACTGAGCGTTGACCTTGTCGCTGGTGGGGAGGGAGAGAGCGAGGATGGGGTGTAAGGCTTAGGGTTAACGGGGGGATGATGGAGCGTAGATAGATGAGGGAGTGAGGGAGGGAGTGAATTGGGAAAAATAAAAAGGCAATACAGGGAGTATACACTGCGACACGCATGCAAGTCAGGTCAAGTCCACTCAAGGCAGCGCACACACATGTCAACTCAAGCCAGCACACACACACATGTCAACTCAAGGCAGCGCACACACACATGTGAGATGAAGCCAGGCTAAGCCAGCGCTGACACACACGTGTGCAAGACAACCCACAGAGTCACAAGCCAGTGAGCGCGCCAAGAATGTTGTTCTGCTCGAGAACGAGTGAGGAGAGGCGGGAGAGGGCAGGCGAAGGACCAGCCCTGTGGTGCGGTTCATGTGCAGTGCAAATGTCTGCAGGGGGGGTAGCAGGAGAGTGGCTGAGGGAGAGGGAGGGGGTGTTAGCATCTATGCGAGAAGAGGAGGAGGAGGCAGATAGGGTTCACGTGGCAATGATTTCACGCAAGGCAGTGAAAGCGTAGACGAGCAAGCAAGGGGAGCAAGGGGGGCAAGCAGGGAGAAGGGGGAAGGGGAAGGGAAAGGTTTGGGAAGGCAAAAAAACAACTTGAAAGAGGAACACTTTGGAAGGGACATCGACACGGGTGGCGGCGAGTTAGGAAAGGGGGAGAGGTGGAGGCACGGGGAGGGGAGGGGAAAAGGGAGGCGATTGTGCGCGGGTTCCAACCACCTCCCTCCCTGCGAGAAAGAAGGCAGGTTAGTCAGTCAGAGATTACATCAGCGCCAGCAGCACACTCGCTGGGGGGAGGAGAGAGAGGGGGAGGGGGAAGGGGAGGGGAAAGGGGAGGAGAGGAAGACAGGAGGGGAAAGGGAACATGGGAAACCGGGAATCATGGGTGGCAGCATTCCACTCCGCCCTCACCCCTTGTGCATCTCACGTGGTGGGCAGCATGGGTGGCGGCTCGCGCCTTGGCCGACGCAGAGGAGGGCAGCGCCGCGAGCATGCCTCCACCGTCGGCGCCTTGTGAGGCGCCTCAATAGACGCGAGCACCTCCGCCGCGAGCATGACAGCACCATCGCCGCCTCGTGAGGCGCCTCGAAAGACGCGCGTGGAGGTGATGGGGGCAGGGAAGGCGTGCGACAGCAACGGAATCAGCAGCGCTGCAGAGAAAACCGTCTGCAGGGAAGGCGTGCGGTGATGGCAACACTGCTGGCACCTGCAGCTGGGGAAGGGGAAAAGGGGGTGGGCGGGGGGGACGCGTGGAAGGGAGAGGGAGAAGAGGTAGAGGGGGAATGGAGGGGGATAGGGCCCTCGAGTTATTTAGGGTACAATGGAGTGCGATGACATTATCCAGCCATTAGTCCATTACATTTATTCAAGGCATTATCAAGCAATTAGTTTATTACATTTATTCAAGACATTTGTTGCGCGTTTGAGGTGCCTCCCCACCTCTCCTGTTTCCTGCTGCTCACCCACATCCCCACCATCCCCCATCCCCAATGCGCCCTCCCCCGCCCGCCTTCCCCTCTCTCCACCCTCCCCGTCCCCCCCTAGTGCATCTCACCTGGCGACCGCACCTCGTCCGTGGCGGCGGAGGGCACCTCCGCGCACACAGCAAATTACAGTAGCAACTTTTACCTGAACATTTACCTCCGCGCGCACCTTCGCGCGGATGAAACAGGCAGCATGCGAGCATACCTCGTCCGTCGCGGCGGAGGCAGCGCCGCCCATCACCGTCGCCGCCGGTTGAGGGGCCTCGAAAGACGCGAGCACCTCGGCCGGCACGGACGAGGCGCGCGCGGAGGTGCCCCGTCCATGATTGTCGCGGATGGAGATCGAGACAGAGGGGTGGGCGGAGGTAACTAGACCCTAGATTCGACCTAACAAAAAAACAGCCATCCACGCTAACAAGAAAAACAACTTCATTCCTATTGGCAGGAAAATAGGTGACAGGAAATAGCTGTGGCAGGCTGGGAAATACGAAGCTTGTGGTTGCGTCAGGCTGACAAAAATTACTACTTTCCTATTGGCTCTCGTTGTCAAACTTCAATTGTTTTTTCAGGTGCCCCAGGACGAACCGATCAGCCAAACCTCCCCCGCCATGCACAGATTTTCCACCATACACGTACCGTTCCGCACCTTACGCAGAAATTACACTGACTGACGAAATAAAAGTTGCGGACCGGCTAAAAATGGTGCCACGCCGACCACCTCCTAGAATCTTCGACCCAGCCTCCGCCCCATTCTGCTGGTACAGTTTATCCAGCATGCCCAACAAAATCCCAACAATAATACGCGTCCTTATCAATCTCGTTCGCATTCTGAATGGAAATTGTAACCGGTCGTTGAGAATGACTGTACACCCTGGTTTGGGCTGGATGCGCTACACGCGAACACATTCTCAGCCAACACAAAATGTTGTCCACGCACCGCTCAAGCCACATAGTCGGTGGGTGATTTATTGGCCAATAGAAAGTCAGCAAACCTCCATCCGTAACAGCTCATGGGAATTCTGGCAGTTCCCGTGGAAACGGGGAAGCTCTGCGAATTTCGTGAGCCTGATCATTTGCTCGCGAAGTTCTTGTTAAAATATCGCCAACGATTTTGCGAAACTGACACCCTCCAGTGGGATGGGGGGAGTCATGCTCCATGCCGAGCGTACTTATTTCACCCGTTCTAGCCAAACAAACACCCTCGTGGCATTCTCTGTCATAGCCCTCAGCAATCTCGCACACAATCACCATCCTCCTAACGATGAGTTCCTTTCGGACGCCAGCAACAGCCCGCAGGACTCGTAAAAAAGAGCTGAGTCCTGAACCAATACTGCTGGCTTCATACGGTAAGGCTGACGGATCTACTACTGACCGTATCAAGAATGATGACCCGCAGGATGAGGAGACCAAGTTGGGGAATGAACAGCAGAAAAAACGAAAGCTTGACCCCTTCAATAACAGCGAGGTAATGAACTCAATGTGGGACGTTTTGGACAATCCACGCTCTTCGACCTTTCAGACTCATTCCTTGATTTCTCTACAGGCGAATTCAAAGGTTCTGGAATATGAGAAGCTTCTCCAGGAGAAAACTGAGGAGATTGCTAGACTGAAGAACGCAGCCGCCGAAACTTCAGCCAACGAGGAGATGCAGGATCAGGTATCTAATGCAGCTCTTTCCTACGGCATTCGGTATTTTTGTTGATACACGCGTATAACTACAACATCTGTGCGGATGCAGATTGACAAGCTCACGCAAGAACTTGAGGAGCAGAAGAAGACTCATGCCTTGGAAGCTCATCGGGTGAATTCAAAGCTTCTGGAATCTGAGCAGCTTCTCCAGAAAAAAAATGAAGAGCTAAATATTATGAACGCGGAGGTAATGAACTCAATGTGGGACGTTTTGGACAATCCACGCTCGACCTCTCAGACTCATTCCTTGATTGCACTACAGGCAAATTCGAAGTTTCTGGATTATGAGAAGATTCTCCAGGACAAATATGAGAGGGTTGCTAAACTGGAGAACGCATCCGCCGAAACGTCTGCAGCCAACGAGGAGATGCAGGATCAGGTATCTAATGCATCTCTTTCCTATGGCATTCGGTTCTTGATACACGCGTATAACTACAACGTCTGTGCGGATGCAGATTGACAAGCTCACGCAAGAAATTGAGGAGCAGAAGAAGACTCACGCCTTGGAAGCTCATCGGGTGAATTCAAAGCTTCTGGAATCTGAGAAGCTTCTCCAGAAAAAAATTGACGAGCTAAATACTCTGAACACGGAGTGTTCTAAACTGAAGACAGCAGCCGCCGAAATGTCGGCAACCAACAAGAAGATGCAGGATCAGGTATCTGATGGAGGTCCTTTCTAAAGAATTTATTTCTTGGTTTATTTACGCGCAGCACTAACTACCACGTTTGTGCGCACAAACATCTGCAGATTGACAAGCTCACGGATGCGACCGATCGACTGTCTAAGGAGTTAGTTTCGAGGAGGGACGAAGTCGAACAGAAGGAATCCGAGCTAAAGAATCTGAAGGTACTGTTCCGCTTCAGCTCTGCATAGAATGAAACAGGTCCATCGCGATCTGATTATGTTTCTGGGGATCTCACGTATTTTTCAGGGGCTATCACAAACCGATTGCGAGCTTAAGGCAGAGATTGCAAGATTGAAGAGCGATTTGGCTGACAGGAACCAGGTTGTCGGTAATAAGGATCGCCAGCTGCTAGAGATGGAAAAGAACATGAAGGCTCAGCTGCAAGAGATGGAAAAGAACATGAAGGCTCAGCTGCTAGAGATGGAAAAGAAGATGAAGGCTCTCCATAACCGGCTATTGGTATGGCTTTTGCTCTTCTCACAAGTTTTTACTTCTGTATTTCTTCGATCCATCTGAGGCTCACTTAACTTTCTCTGTGCCTGCAGTTGCTGCAAGGGAACATAAGGGTGTTTTGCCGTGTTCGCCCCCTCAGTGCGAAGGAAGGAGAAAGGAGTTCTGGTGCTATGGCTGTGCGGATTCCTGAGAACAACATTGACAACAGGATTGCTGTTCAGGGTAAACCACTTTATTATTTGGCACAACTCGCTTCACGAAAGTCTACTTTTCTGACATCACTATGTTCATGGCTGATCAGGGCATGAAGGAGATTTTAAATTCGACAAGGTTTTTTCGCCTGGTACTACTCAAACGGTTGTGTTTAAAGAGATTGCAGACCTGGTTACTAGTGCATTGGATGGCTACAAGGTAAGAAGGAATTCGATTAACTTGTCTGTTATTCAACAACCTTCTGACCCATTTTTTCACGGTTTTCTTTTCAGGTTTGCATATTTGCTTATGGCCAGACCGGTTCAGGCAAGACTTTCACTATGTTTGGGGACAACACCGACGAGACTCTCCGTGGAGTCATTCCACGTTCGATGCATCAGATTTTTCAAGTCATCCGTGAAAAGTTCACCACTGGATGGGAATACACCATCCAGGTGCGTTCACGCCTCTGTTGTTCTTGGTGGTTCTGTGCAAACTGCAGCAACTGAACATTGTGTCCTGCGGCAGGCTTCCTTTCTCGAGATCCACAACGAGACCATCCGCGACTTGCTAAAAGGATACCACAATGATGACGAGGCTACAAGCTCGAAGCCTGAGAAGGGAAGTGCGGCAGCAAAGAAGGCAGAGGCTTCTCTGTACAACATCATTCACGAAAAGGATGGCAGCACTACAGTGGTTGGCCTCAACATTGTTGTAGAGGACTCTCCTCTACTTTGCAGGAACTGGGAGTTGTTCTAAACGATAGAGCTCTGTCTTAGCTTTCCAACGAGCCGTCAAACACGTCGATCGCCTAAGTATTCTCCGAGATATAGGCGTTCACGTGCTAGGTGGTGCTCTTGAATGCAAGTAAAGAAGCTCTCTGGAATTTGTGTTCGAATGTACCTTGTACAAAGAACTCTGAGTTTCACTATGATGGCATGCAATACAAAGAAAACAGATTTATAGCATGCAAACAAGATCGAATCGCACAAGTAACCTCGAACCGCTACACTCGCGAATGTTCGAGTAACATCGAAAGGGTCTTCCGAAGTCAATCCTCAACCCCACGCAAACCTGCAACTCACTCGAAGGTGAGCACAAGTCACACATTCGGTGGGTTGGGGGCATACAAACGCCCCACCACCACCTTGCTTCCAACACACGTAATCTCCAACACTCCCCCTTGCACCCAACCCACTAGGTGTGCAAACCAACATGCTCATAGCATGCACGGGATGAATCTTTAGGGGGTGGTTCCATGAGAGATTTCGCGTGTTCATCATCACCCTTGGTTGCGAAGCAAAATGCCGCGCCCTCCTTATCCGTCTCCCCAACGGCTACCGTAGCGTAGTCGTTGTACTTGGAGGGAGGACGAACCTCACGACGCTCGCGGGTCAAGGCCAATGGTAGGGAGGAAGGTGTGGAGGTAGTTGCCGCCTCGGTTGGTGACACCTCCACGACATCATCAATGCTCTCCTCGTTGTTCGCTCCCCCTCCATCGGCTTCCTTCTCCACTTGAGGTGGAGTCTCACTCTCTTCAACCTCCTCTCGTGGCGGAAGGATGAAGGTGAGTTGTTGAGTGGGTTTCTCCTTCGACGGGAACTTGTCTTCATCGAAGACCACGTCCCGAGACGTGACGACGCACTTGTCGCCCAAGTCCCACACTCACCACGCACGCTCGTTCGCCGCAATTCCCAAGTAGATCGCCGCACGAGCCTTCGGTTGCAACTTGTGGCGAAGGGGATCCGGTACATGGTAGTAGCAAAGGCACCCAAAGGTGCGAAGGCGGGATAGGTTCGGCTTCGTTCCGATCCATGCTTCGAACGGAGTCATTCCCGGGAGCACCTTCGTCGGCAAACGGTTGCGAATCCACGCCGCTAGCGAACTCGCCTCGCCCCACCACTCTTTCCCAAGCTTGGAGTGTTGAAGAAGAGAACGAACGGCTTCCACCAACGTGCGATTAAGCCGCTCCGCCGCTCCATTTTGTTGGGGTGTGTAGGGTGTTGTGACGTCGTGCTTAATGCCCTTGCACTTCATCCATTTCTCGAGCTCCGCATTCACGAATTCGCCACCACCATCGGTGCGAATACACTTGATCCGCTTCTTGTCATCGTCGCAAACTTCGAGCGCCCACTCTTGAATCGCCTTGGCCGCATCTCCCTTAGCCTTCAAAAGTCGGGTCCAACACATCCGCGTCGCATCGTCGAGCATTACCAAGAGGAACCGCGCTCCTCCCTTTGATGCATGCCGCATCGGTCCACACACGTCCATGTGAACAAGCGCAAGCGGGTCCTTAGCGAGGGGTGACGTTCGGCTCCCAAATGGCTTGCGAGCCATTTTTCCTTCGACACACGCCGCGCACACGCCCTTCTCGTCGTCGCCGGCGATCACGTCGACTCCCTTCGCGAGTCCTTTGTTGGCTAACTCCTTGACCGAGTCGTAGTTGGCGTGCGCAAGTCGATTATGCCACGCCTTGAGAGTCGCCTTGGAACCTTGCGCCACGTTGGATGAAGCCGCTCCCGGGTGCGTCTTGAGTTGGTAGAGTTCTCCGTTGAGAACGCCTTGTGCAAATTGCTTCCCCTTCCAAAAAAGGTTCATGTTCGCGCCGTCGATCGTGGCGATCACTCCCTTCTTCGCAAGTTGCGGGACGGATAGAAGGTTCACCTTCACCCCCGGGACGTGAAACACGTTCGTCACGTCCACCGGACCGCTATCGACGATGAGGCGCGTACTCCCAACTCCGACCACCGGTAGCGATTCGTTGTTTCCGAACACGATGCTCGTGACGTCTCCCGGAGCGCCAATGTTGTTGAGGAGCGACGCCGAGTGCGTCATGTGTTGCGTTGCGCCGGTATCGAGGAACCACGCGTCGCTTGGAGTTTTGTTCCCGTTGCCGGCCACTAACACGAGCGACTCCTTTGAATCATCGGCCTCGCCGGATGCCGTGTGCGCGTTGCCCTCTTGGTCCCGCGCCATCGATGGAGTCCAATCGCTCGGCCGCTTTCGACACTCACGCCAAAAGTGTCCCGGTTTGCGGCAATAGTGACACTTGCCGCGATGCTCGCTCCCATCGGACGATTTCTTCGTTGCGTCCTTGCTCCACTTGGACTTCTTTCCGGAACTCCCTCCGGAGTACATGGCGGCACCCTCGCTCTCATTAGCGAATTGTCGGCGACGCGATTCTTCATGGAGAAGCCGACCAACCACCATTTCCTTCGTCCAAGTGTCTTGCACGCTATCGAGTGTCGTAATCACCGTCGACCACTCTTCCGGAAGGCCGCAAAGCAAGGTGAGAATCCAATCCTCCTCCGTGACCGTTCCACCGAGGTCCATGAACGTTTCCCCGAGTTCCTCCAGACGAGTCGCAAACTCGTGCATCGATTCGCCCGCGCGCATCTTCACCGTGTAAAACGCATTCCGGGCTAGGATCTTGCCGTGGAGAGTCTTGTTCACGTGGATGGTCTCGAGCCGCTTCCACGCTTCATGCGCCGACGCTTCGAGCTTGATGCACATGCGCACCGAGCTCACGAGATTGATGCCGATGCGCGAAATCAACGTAGCGAACGCCTTTTGGTCCTTCTTCTTCCATGCCGCGATGCCGCTCTCATCGTCCGGCTTCTTCTCCGTTCCATCGAAGAAACCCCAAAGTCCCCGCTCCATCATGAGCACTTGGAACTTAAACTTCCACGCGGAGTAGTTTTGTCCCGTGAAAATCGGTACCGCCGACGTGTCGAACATCGTCGCGGTTGCCCAGGGTTCGCCGGAATTTACAACGACACCATCCAAGGAAGTGCGGGAGGCCTCGCTTGAAGTCATCATGCGTGCTCCTTGTCGCGCGCGTAGACTCCTCCGACCAGCTCTGATACCACTGTTGTAGAGGACTCTCCTCTACTTTGCAGGAACTGGGAGTGAGCTCTGTCTTAGCTTTCCAACGAGCCGTCAAACACGTCGATCGCCTAAGTATTCTCCGAGATACAGGCGTTCACGTGCTAGGTGGTGCTCTTGAATGCAAGTAAAGAAGCTCTCTGGAATTTGTGTTCGAATGTACCTTGTACAAAGAACTCTGAGTTTCACTATGATGGCATGCAATACAAAGAAAACAGATTTATAGCATGCAAACAAGATCGAATCGCACAAGTAACCTCGAACCGCTACACTCGCGAATGTTCGAGTAACATCGAAAGGGTCTTCCGAAGTCAATCCTCAACCCCACGCAAACCTGCAACTCACTCGAAGGTGAGCACAAGTCACACATTCGGTGGGTTGGGGGCATACAAACGCCCCACCACCACCTTGCTTCCAACACACGTAATCTCCAACAAACATTGTTACTGTGCAGACTGTTGAGAAAGCAGCTGAGATTTTCGCTTATGCACGCAAGAAGAGGTACGGATGCTCACAGCTTGCTTGTGAATTTTGCGCTTGTGTTCAAGCAAGAGGTACTAAGTCTGATCATGTTTATTTGCAGGGTCGTTGCAAGGACAGACATGAACGAGGAGTCATCACGCAGTCATGCCGTGTTCACTCTCAGGCTGAACGGCAAGAATCGAGTGAGTGATTCAACGAAACTCAAATCTTGCGGCAGTTTTGGGCAGAACATGTGACAGCTCTCACTATTGATCCTTCTCTTCCCTGTCAGGACACTGGCGAAACAACACATGGCATCCTCAACTTGATTGACCTGGCAGGAAGTGAACGACTAAAAAAGTCAAATGCAACAGGAACGACAAGAACAGAGTCCATCGTGAGCAGCATTTATTGCATTTATTTTCATAATGTCTCACGCACAGTCACATAAACACTCTTCTGCCATGTGCCACACCCACCTTCAGGCTATCAACAAGAGTTTAAGCTCCTTGTCCCACGTCCTCGAGGCAAGAGCTAAAGGGGAACTGCCTCGCTACCGTGACGGGAAATTGACCTACCTACTCCAGGTATCAACTTGAATTTTTTTACTCCAAAGCATGTAATGTTCTAGACTTTCCTCCTGATGCAAATTATTGGCTCTGCAGAAATCAATCGAGAAGGAGTCAAGGACTCTCATGTTCCTTAACATATCACCGGACAGTTCGTCGACTGATGAGACCTTGGGGGCACTGAAGTTTGGAGCAATGGTAAATTCTTGTGATCTTGGAGTCGCTAGTCGCGACATTCGTAGTGAGAATTGTGAAGCCGTAGACCTACCGAGCCGCACCGGCAACAGCAGCAACCACCGTCCCAAGAAGAATCGCTAGCTCATTCTGAGCAACGGGAAAGGAAATTGCACCAATCGACCAACTTAGAAGATCACAACACTAGTAGCATAGGGAGCGCATGTTTAGGGGGTGGAAATAAAAGCTTAATTTTGTTGATGTAGTTTATACTTATTGCTGAATTCGCATGCTTGATTTGAGCCACCATATCCAACTCCTCTAGCCCATGTGATGCGTCTAAAGAACGACTGCCAGCTGGAATGGTGGATGCCAGCCCCATCACCTCCACCACGTGCTCCTTGGATACCTGCTCACAGGGGAAGCACGGCCGAGCAGAGAAGTGGATTTTGTTCAGCCTTCCTTAGCCATGCTTGCTTCATTTAGTTATTGATATCGCCTCAAGTCGCCCTCTCTTCTACAGTGTGAAGCTGAGATGGTGTGCGCAGGTGCGTGTGAACCGGTTGAGAGGAGGTGTGAGGCGGTTGAGAGGAAGTATGAAATTGATGAGAGGGGGTGTGCTGCATGGAACACGACCAGACAACCAAGGACGCTCCCCTTGTAACCAGGCCCTTACCTGGACATTTGAAGTGCCCTGCTGCCAGCATCACCCTTCCCACCTTCCACTGCTGCACCCGACCAAGGCGTGTGAGTCTGAGACAGTGCGTGCAGGTGTGAAGCGGGTGAGAGAGGATGTGCAGGCAGACCGGACGGATTGGGTGCAGCTGCTGGTAGGGGAGTGAGTGGCATGCCTGCTGCAGATAGTGCTGCCACACACCACACACACACGGGTGATGATGGGTCTTTCGGTGCTTTTCAGAGACGCATTCGAAAGGGAGCGAAGCTGGGTGATGCGAGTGGAATGAGCCACGGAAAAGAGAGGTTCGCGGGTAAACCCTGAGAAACAAGCAACGATCAAGGTACTGAGCATAGTGCCGCAGGCGCATGCAACAGGAGGGCCAGCAAACCCTCTTTCACCTCCCATACACAGCCCCTGTCACACAAACACCATTGATCATGCAGCAGCACTGCACCCCACCAGGCACCCACACTCAAAACCCAAAATGACCCGCATGCCCAACCCCTGACATGCACGCGCAAGTGATCGCAGCCATCCATTCAAACTCCCGGCACACCATCAGGGCAGCACGCACAAGGCAACGGGAAGGAGAAGGTTGGAGGACACGGGCGATGATGAAGGTGCCGACCGACACGGCTGGCAGCAGCTCCCCTGCCTTGTGTAGCGGCAGCAGCCCGGCCATGAGTGCCGCCACGACCCGCCCATGAACAAGGGAAGCGTAGGGAGAGAGCGAGGGGAAAGGCGCACGTGGGGTGGAAGGGGGAGGAGAGATGGAAGATGGGAGGCTTGTGAGGGGAGAGTAGAGGAAACGAGCAGGATCGTGGGAGGAGTGACAGGGATGCGAGGAGGGAAAAATTGGAGGGGAAAAGGCCATAAGTGCATGTAAGGAAGGCAGAGGCGAGTGATTGAGCAGATAGACAATGCAAAGTTCGTTGAGATAGGCTGAAGCATTTGAGATGAGAGGAACCCAATGTACCGTAGAAGGTTTGCCATGGAATGACAGGAAGGAATGGAAGAAGCAAGTTGGCATTGCGTGCGCATGTGCATGTAGGCATGCTTGTTGAACAACCCCACGATGGCCTCACCGCGCCAGGATGCATGGTGCACATCCAAGGCGCACAGCACGCTATCAAGTTACCCCCGTCGCCGTTGCTCGCTAGCGCCGCCACCTGGGAGAACAAGCATGGGAGAGGGAAAGGTGGATGCGACAAGGTCAGAGAGTACGCAGAAAGACTTATGGAATATCTCTCTCCCTCTCTCTCTATATATATATATATATGAAATATATATCCAACTGCTGCCAAACCTTGTTAATCCTGCCTTCAAACCATCTGTCGCCCATCTCCCCCTCGCCCCCACTCTCAACCCCGTCCCACCCACCCACCCGCAAACACAAAATAACCTCCTTCCCCCTCTTCTCCCCACACCCAAGAACACATGCCCCCCTTCTTCCGTTCCCGCAACCCACCCGCCTCCCCCCCCAGCACGGACAATGAAGCGGATGGTTTGAAAGAGCGCAACGAGCAGCGAGGCGAAGCAGATGGGGCCAAAGCTCCTGGTGGCGGCGCGGTGCAGCGCGCGGCCAGTGGGGTTGGGCGGCATGTTGTGGCGCAGCAAGCTGTGCGTGGGCGTGGTGTGGTGCCCGCCACTGCCGCGTGCCCTGCCCCACGTTGCGCAATACCTGCCTGCCCCGGGTACGAGGGCCGTGAGGGTTGGGAAAGGAGGGACGGTGGTGAGAAGAGGAGAGGCCGAAGAATGGTGACGCTGAGAATGGGGGAAAGAAAGCGGGCGGTTTTGAGGGTCATGCAAGGGGGGAAGGGGGAGGGTGATGACGGGTAAGAGGGCAGATGGAGAGAAGCGAGGCGAAATGGTGGGTTCAGGACAGGGAACGAAAAAGAGGAGTCGGGTTGCTGCAGATGTGAACACCAGGGTCCAAACTTTCAGAGTGCATACCAAGTAGCGCTAGCAGCAGCTTCAAGGTGAAGAGAGTGAAGAGGGCAGAGGCAGAGTGAGGATTGCAGAGCAAAGAGGGCAGGCATGGCGTGGCAAGGAGGAGAGGGGCCAGGAGCTCCATGGTCCAGTAGATGCTGAGGACGATTCTTGAGTGGACTCAAACATTGGCTCATAACACGCAGTTTATGTGAGAATTTTGTTAGTGGAGTCAAACAGAGGGACGGAGAACCTCCGTGGTCCATCCAGTAGTCGTTGAGCATGAGCATGAGCATGAGGATGATGCGCGGCGCGGGCGCGTTAATCTGCAGCACACACACCACAGCACATCACAGCACACGCGATGGAGGAAGGGATGGGAGAGCAGCAGCATTAGATGCAACACGGTGCGCAGGTGTTTGTTTGTTTGTTTGTTTGTTTTTTTTTTTTTTTTTTTTTTTTTTTCTTCGTATTTTGTGAATGCGAAGGTGATATCATGTGGAGAGAAGTAGGAGAGACGGTCTCATGGGGGCATGCAGACAGGCATGCATGACCACTGCCATGCCTAGCACTGGTGTGGAGAGGGCAGGAAGGGAAGAAGGCGACGGAAAGAGGGGGGTCGGCTCGGTGGGGAGGAGAGGAGGGGGTCGGTGGGAGTGAGCACGAAAAGCGGAGAGGCGTGGCGGCGAGGGCAAGCATGCACCCACGTCCGACGCGGCGAAGGGCAGCGCCGCGACCTTCCCCCCTCCCCACTGCGCCCTCCCCTCCCCACTGCGCCGTCCCCTCCCCACCTTACCCCCTCCCCACTGCGCCCTCCACTCCCCACCTTCCCCCTCCCCACTGCGCCCTCCGCTCCCCCACCTTCCCCCTCCCCACTGCGCCCTCCGCTCCCCGAACCCCCTCGTCCACCTCAACTGACGACCGCGCGTCGTTCGTCGCGGCGGATGGCAGCGCCGCGCGCTCGTCCCCGCGCACTTCCGCGCGCACAGCAAATCACAGTCGCAACTTTCTTGCTTTCCTTATGCTGAACTTTTACATTCGGGCATGCCGCTCGCGCCTCGTCCGTGGCGGCGGAAGGCAGCGCCGCCCACCACCATCGCCGCCTTTTGACGCGCCTGGAAGGAGATGGGCGGAAGGTGAGCGAGAGAGAGGGGGGGTGCGGGAAGGGCGGTGCGAGAAGGTGATCGGGCTCGGCTCTCGATCCTCACGCCGTCGAACGAGCCCTCACACTCCTCTGCTCTCGCATCCCCCCTCTCGCGCCAGAAACTGAAACAGCAGCGTCGCCTTCCCTAATCATCGCGCCCTTTACGTAAGCATTGCGCGCAGTCGCTCACGGACGGAGAGCGCACGAGAACACGCGCGCGCGAAGCACCGACGCCATGGAAACAAAGAGGCAAAAGCTTCAGTGAAACGCGGTCTCGTCACCTGCGAGAGGGCTACGCGTCGTGTGCGCCACTCCCGGCAAGGGGACGCCGGGCGTTCACGTTATAAGTGGGGAGAGATATCAGAAAGCATGAGCTTGCCAGGACACAACAGCCCACAACACGTGCCATGACAATTTGCGTAGGGTTTCAGGTACGTGGTTCGTTCAATGAGGTCAAGTACGTCAAAACACGATAAACAACGGTCTGTGTCGGTGAAACTCAGAATCAACCCGTTTCTAACGTACTGGACCGCATTAAACAACCACTAACAAAACCGCTTCCGATTGTTCAGAAACGTAATGAACCGCTATTACTGACGAGAAACTTTCATACAATTAGGTTCCAAACTACAGCGGAAACATTCACTGTATCACTACCTGTATCGAGTACGATCGACGAGTCCCCACCCGACCTTGGAGTTACTACGCATGCGCAAGCACGCCACCTCAACACTCACAGCGCTCTCCTCTTTATTAGCTCGCCTCGTCGTCCCGCCTTGAAGTTAGCTCCCGCCAGCTCAAACGGCTCTCAACGTCACCCCCAGCCATGAAGCCAAAAACAAAGAAACCACGGATCCAACCTCCAGCCATTCTAATGTTCTTTAGGAGTACATCAATCCAATCTGCAACCATTCTAAAGCGACTATCGATCCAACCACCTTTAGCCACTCTGAAGCAGTACCATTTCGGTGTGGGGGTAAATTGTTTATACTTTTTGACTGGACAACATCTTTTCTACGAGCCAAACGTCGCTTGCTTAGGTACGTGCCTTCGCCTCGAGCATTTACCGCTCCAACACGACACCTCCTGTTTCCCCCAATCCTCTCATCTCCCCCGGGTGCTGGCGGATGGCAGCTGCCTGCGAGCTATAGGCATTTAGGTAGGCCCTAACACCCGAGGCATGCATATAGGCCCAGTGTTTGCGTGCATGCGACGTGCGTGCGTTCGTGTGCTTATGTCACTTCTCATTTCTTGTCAATGAAGTGAAATGGTGCAGCAGATAACTAATTTGAGCAGCAGATATGGTGACAATCTTCATAAGCTCCTTCTAATTATGGGTGCTTTTCGTTCATACGTTTTATGTGTGTGAAACAAGTTGTGTTATTCCTTCACCCCACATGTACTTTTATAATTTCCCGTTATCTTCTGCTATGGATGCCAACGACAACACCAACAGTATGAGCACCCCTAGCAGCAGCAGCAGTAGAAGGCGTCGCTCTACCAGCAGCAGCACAGCTAGTGTTGCTCCTGGCCCACACCCACAGAGTAAGTGTTGTTTTTGCTGCTGCAGAGCCGTTCCCACGCTCACGCCCACTGTCATTGCTATCACGCTCGTGCCCTCAAGCACCATTGCGCTTTGGCATGGTGCACCGTTTCCCCCCCCCCCCCCCCCCTCCCCCCCCCCCCCGCCCCCCACCACCCCCCACCACCCACCCGCCCCCTCTTTTACCCCTCTCCCTTCCTCTCTGCATTTACAATGTGAGTTGCATCCGTCCTTCCCTCTGTGTCTGCCGTGTTCCCAGAGCTTGGCGGGTCGAAGATACGTGAATTCCTCAACGACTTGTTGACCAAGGTGGAGGATCGTAAGAAATTGGACGAGTGCAGCGACAGTGTGGCACAAGCCCGGAATGGTATGTTTGAGAGGGGGGAATGGCAGGCATAGGGGGGTGGCATGGGGATGGGAGTGGTAGCGGGAGGGAAATGGGAGGGGAAGGTGAGTAGTATGAGAAAGGGAGGGTAGGGGGTGGCATGGAAGGGGTTGTTGTAGGGAGGAAAGTGGCTGGGGATTGGGGTAGGGGGGGATAAACGGGGTGGCGTGGGGAGGGGAGTGGCATGAGAAACAAGCCTGTTTGTATTTCCTTCCACTATGTCCCCTCTGCACATGACAGATTATCAAAAGAAGGTAGGCATTATTAGCAGCGAGTTGGAGATTCTGCTGCAAGCCGTGGACAGCCATACAGCCGAACTCGTACGGAGCCGCACGGTTGCTAAAGACACGTACGGGGATGCCTACGACATCCTCTTCGACGTATGTTTATGTTTTTTTGTTCTCGCACGTCAGATGCTTCTAGTATCCAGTGCGCCCACTAGCGCACGCATTTCATGCGCGCCTTTGCATGCTCCGTTATGTTGTGCGTGCAAGGAAGAGGGGGAGGGATGAAGGGTGGAGGAGGGGTGAATGATTGACATGTGGTGACTGCTTGGAGAAACATGGTTGTTGTCGGCATGTGTTTCTCGATGAACGGGTATGTGGCCTCTCTACCTCTCTTCCTCTCCCTCGGATGTCTGAATGCATAGCTGACACCTGAGGCCTAATTTCTAAATTGGCGCATCTTCCTATTGTGTTTTTGTAGTATATTGAGCAGGAGGAGAGGGATGAGGCTTTGCTGGAAAAGGGAGCTCACCCGCCTGAGAAGGATTCTGAGGTGGAGCTGATGAGGGCTACGTTGGAGGAGCAGAGCCGTCAGCTGGCTGACGGAGAGGCTCAATTGCAGCAGATCAGAGCTCAGCTTAAGACAGTAGCTGACGAGCGAGATTACCTTCGAAAGGTAGGCTCAGCAGGGGGGAAAGGGTGGTGGGCGGGCTAAGGGATCTAACACTAATCACGCGTGTGCATGTTCTTCAACAGCAGTCACTGCCAGCACCCACCCAGCACCCTCTGTCTGGCCAGCTCTGCTGGCCTGTCTGCCATTGAGGCTGTTATGGCTGCCCTCTGGTAAGAAACCTGTCGGGGGGGAGGGAGGGTGGGGAAGAGGGAAGAGGGGATGAGGTAGGATTATGGAGTTGACTCGAATGTCAACTTTCTGATTTGTTGGGCATTGAGCCTGTCATGGCTGCCCGCTGGGCGGTTGAAAGAAGCTTGGTGTAAGGAAGGAGCGAGGGAAGTGGGCCATGATGGAGTGAGACAACAGCAGTCACTGCCATTCTCCCATCCCATTCTTCCCCTCTCCCCCCCCGCCCCTCTCTCTCTTTCTCTCTCTCTCCAGAAGTTCAAGAACCTGAGATTCACAGTTTCGCCATCCGGGGCAGGAGATGGGGGGGAGGGAGGGGAAGGGGGAGGGAGAGGAAGAGGGGGAGAGGGGGTTGGAGAGGGAGAGGGAGTGGGAGAAGATGAGGAAGTGGGTTTCGGTGGTATTGTCGGGTGCACGTACGAGCTCAAACCCTTTAGGATTAGAATATGGGATGGTTTTAACAAAAAACGGCACGAGGTGGGTGATTACGAGTTCCACGACACTGCTGGGATGGCGTCCGAGGTTTCAAGGCTGGTTCTCAAGGTTCGAGTCCCAGAAAAACCCAAGTTTCTCACTCCTGCGCAGTTCACCGCAGCATCCCAGATTGAGAGGAAGCACGAAAAAATGAAGTGGTGGGAGGTGGTGGAGATCCTGTCGAACGGCTCGGCGGACGAGATTGCGGAGCTGATTGCGGGCAAGAAAGTGCCGGTGCCGAGGAGAGGGGAGAGGAAGAGGGGTTGATGATTGCAGAAAAGCATGGGAGTGACCCGGGGATGTCTGGGTATGGCTGCCAGCACCGCCGCTGCCACGCAGGTCAAGGGAGGGGAGGAATGCTTGTGCATGAGGGGGAAAGCAGTGCATGGAAGTGTAATTTGCAGTTGACTATGCGATGGGTGCGCTCATTCGGAAACCACTGGGTTCTTTGAAAAACAGATTGCATGTGATGTGTAATATCAACTTGTACAACTTGGTAGTTCTGCCTGGTTGCTTGCTCGTGTGTTTGTAATACAGATTGCATGTGATGTTATGTGTGATATCGATTTGTACAACTTGTGCGACTTGTGTGGTTGCAGTCAGTCGCTGTGACAGACCTGGAGTGCTCATGGGCTACATTCCCTCTCCCAGCTGGCCAGACTAGCTCATGATGGAGAATGTTCAATATAGAATCTCATCAATAGCATGGCTTTGCAGACATGGTACATTGCTACCAAAAACTTAGTTTAGTAGATAAGTAACATGCCTGATTCATTCCAAGTGGGTGCCCTCATATACTTGACATGACACCCTTTTATTTGTCATACGGTACGGGAACCTTGAGTTCAAACATCCAAGCCAAAGAGAACCAAACTGGGAGCCAGCTCCCCTTCGCCTTTCCCCTTCTCCTTCCTCCACTCTCCATCCCTCCTGTTTGTTTACCGAGTCCCTCCTGCGTGTCCTGTAAACCGGGCTGGCTGGCTTCCACTCCCCGTCCCCCCTCCCTCTCTACCCTTGGTTGTTCTGTGAACCGGGCTGACTAGCAATCCCCACCACCAGCATGTAGATGGACGACCCAATGCTCGTCACGCAGATGATAGCCGCCCACACGATCATGGTCCACGAGGTCTTGCGCTCCCACCCATGCACCACTCCCGACCGGTCCCTGTTGGTGCAAGGGTAGGGGAGATGAGAGAGGAGGTGGGAGGCAGCACAAGCGTAGGGGAGAGAAGGGAGGGAAAGCAGAATAGTGGATGAGGCACGCAGACCATGTAGATGGACGACCCAATGCTCGTCACGCAGATGATGGAGGCACACAATCATGGCCCATGACGTCTTGCGCTCCCACCCATGCACCACTCCCGACCGATCCCTGGTGGTGAGTGATTGAGCGAGACGGGAGAGGAGAGGTGAGTTGATAAGTGAAGGAAGAGGTGAGGGAAGAGGTTCGCTCACCAGAGAGCACTGACAGCAGGGAAAACCATGCCGATGATCATGGTGGGTGGAAATCGCCCCGGTCAAGTCAAACGCCACCCAGGTGTTGGGCACGAGCGTGCCGATGACACAGATCCCCACCAGCTGCACTTCTGTGACAATCCAGAACCTCCTATCGCAGTGAGGGCACAGCCCTACTGGGCCCACTCACCTGAGAGCAATGACGGCGGGGAACACCATGCCGATGATCATCGTAGAGGTCGCCCCGGTCAAGTCAAACGCGACCCAGATGTTGGGCACGAGCGTGGCAACCAGACAACTCTTAGCCAGGTGCACTGGCAATGTTGGGGCGGTAAATGGGGCTCACCTCAGTGCAATGACGGCGGGGAAGACCATTCCGATAATCATCGTCGAGGTGGCGCCCGTCAAGTCAAACGCCACCCAGATGTTGGGCACGAGCGTGCCGATCAGACAGATCACCACCAGCTGCACTCCCGTGATAATCCAGAACCTCCTGTCATCCTCCGCGAGCGATTTCTCCGCGTTGTAACAAAACAGGTCGTCCGTGACATTCCGGAGCGAGTAGTAGATGACGGGGAACACGAGCACCACGTGCAGCGCGTAGGAGACGCGCACCACGTCGTTGAGCCACTGCTGGCCGGTCAGGATGGGCGTGGAGAAGTTGGCGAGCACGTCCGGGGCGGTGGAGTCGCCGAAAAGCAGGTAGCCGCAGATCGAGGTGAGCGTGTAGATGGCGAAGCACGTGGCCATGGAGAAGCGGGTTACCGCTGTCATGTTCTGCTCGGTTCGATCTTTCAACTCAACGTATATGGGGTGGACTGGGTGGTGGATGGAGGGGGCAGAAGGGGCAGGGGTAGAGGCAGCAGGGGCAGGGAAAAGGGGCAGAGAAAAGGGGCAGAGAGAGGGGGCAGAAGGAGGGTTAGGAGGGGGAAGAGTAAGAAGGCAGAAGGGGTAGAGAAGTTTGCAAGGACGTCCGGGGCGGTGGCGTCTCCGAAGAGCAGGTAGCCGCAGAGCGAGGTGAGCGTGTAGATGGCGAAGCACGTGGCCATGGAGAAACGGGTTACCGCTGTCATGTTCTGCTCGGTTCGATCCTTGAGCTCCACGTAGATGGGGTGGACTGGTGTGAGGGGAAGAAGGGGGGTTGGGGCCAGGATGGGTGAGGGGCAGGGCCAGGTGGTGTTGTGGAGAAGCGGGTCACTGCTGTCATGTTCTGCTCGGTTCGATCCTTGAGCTCCACGTAGATGGGGTGGACTGAGGGGGAGGGGGAAGAATTGGAGGAGGGGGTGGCGGGTGGGTGGGGTGGGGTGGGGTGGGGTTTGCAGGGGGACAAGGAGCGTTGGTGAAGGAGCAGGGGCAGGCAGAGGAAGGGGCAGTGGAAGGGGGAGAGGGAGGGTGGCACCTGGTGAGGGTGACACCTGGTGCGGGTGCTACCTGACAGAAAGGCTGCTCACTGTTGAAAGGGCAGATGTAAGCAGTGGGCACGACATGGACACACTCAGACAGGCACGATCAGGAAGGCTGTACCTGGTGAGGGTGGCGCTTAGTGTGGTTGGCACCTGGTGTGGGTGGCACCTGGTGTGGCGGCACCTGGTGTGGGTGGCACCTGGTGTGGCGGCACCTGGTGAGGGTGGCGCTTAGTGTGGTGGCACCTGGTGTGGTGGCACCTGGTGTGGGTGGCACCTGGTGTGGGTGGCACCTGGTGCGGGTGCTACCTGACAGAAAGGCTGCTCACTGTTGAAAGGGCAGATGTAAGCAGTGGGCACGACATGGACACACTCAGACAGGCACGATCAGGAAGGCTGTACCTGGTGAGGGTGGCGCTTAGTGTGGTTGGCACCTGGTGTGGGTGGCACCTGGTGTGGGTGGCACCTGGTGTGGGTGGCACCTGGTGTGGGTGGCACCTGGTTTGGGTGGCACCTGGTTTGGGTGGCACCTGGTGGGAGCATTACTCACTGTTGAAGTGGCAGATGTAAGCAGTGGCCATGACCTGAATACATCAAAACAAGCACAGCACAGTCGGGGAAAAGCCGGAGAGGCGGGCCATGGTGAGAAGGGGTTCATCTTGGACGGGGCAGGTTGAGGTGGCTTACTACCTTTTTTTACTTCTAATCAATCAAAGAGGAGGCGATGGTGCGCGGCTGTAGTGGCAGCAGATGGAGAAAACAGAAAATTCTCGGCAACACGGGGATGGGAAAGAGGAAAGGGAAGGGAAGGGAAAGAAAGGAAGAGAAGCGGAAGAGGGAAGGGAAGGCACGGGAGGAAAGGGAAGGGAAGGGAAAGAAAGAGAAGGACTGGGAATAAAAGGGCTGGGAGGGGGGAAGGGGAGGAAAGGGCAGGAGAGGGAAGGGCAGGGGAGCGTACCGGGAAGACGGAGCAGAGAGCAGCGAAGAAATTAGGCGCGTTGACGAAGGGTAACCAGCGAGGCGAAGGGAGAGTGCCTTCGATCAGCTTGATGATGGTGATAATGAGTGTGATTACAACGAAGACGACCGCCAGAATTACGGCGATCGCTGACGTGTAATGCAGTGAATCTGGAGCGAGGAAGATCGGGAGAGATGGTGGAAAAGAGAGAGGAGTTATAGGGTGAATGTGACGTGGCGAATGTTACGTGGCGAGTGTGATGCGGAATGTGACGTGGTGCACGAGATGCAGCGATGTGTCGAATGCGGTGCTCTAAGTTTGAAGTGGTGGGTGTCGTGAGGTATACTTGATATGCGACATTTCATGTCGTGAATACGGCACTGCGGTGAATACGGCACTGCGGTGAATACGGCACTGCGGTGAATACGGCACTGTGGTGATTGTCGTGTGGCGCATGGGCAAGGATCCTATCCATCACACTTGCTAACTCATTTCCATCCATGCTGTGCGGATCCACGCCGTGGAAAATCTTATCGTAACCCAAATCGTTTCATGCGACTCACCAACGTGACGGAAGGACGCCAGCGGGATGAGGACAACGAGCGTGATAACAACGAGGACAAAGAACCGCGTGTTCCACCACGCGGCCTCCCCGCCGTTCCACTCTTTCAGCAGGCCTGGATGCGCCGACCCGATAGTGGACCACGTCCCCGCTAGCACGTCCGCGATAATAATCAAATACACGACGCACAACCCGAAGTTGTTAATGAGGACGGATATATCGAGTACAAGCCTCCACTTGGGCCCGCATTCCTGCAGCACCAGGTCGCCGTACGACCACACCTGCTGCACCGTCGTCGTTTTGATCAGTAATTCCAGGGATACTTGCGTTAATATCCCCATCGCGACGAGCGCGATGATCCCGAGGGGGATCCCCAACACGCGCATCGTTCCGGGGAGACCCATGATTCCCGCGCCGACCACGGTGGTCACGAGGTTAAAGACGGCGGAGGAGAACGAGGCGCCTTTGAAGCCGTGGCGGCCTGCGCCCATGTCGAGGAAGCGGTCCTGGCTGTGCTGCAGCGGGAGCGGGGAGGCGGAACCGGCGGAACCCGCGGAATCTGTGGAGCGGAGGGAGTCCTTTCCGCCGTCCGCGGACAGGGAGGAGCCATAGTCGGAGAATCCGGGGCCCTGGACAAGCTCTATGGCCGACATTGTAACGAGCGTGCGACTACTGACGTGCGACGACTATCCTTGTGCGACGCCAGACGTGCGACTTCTTGTTATTGAACAAGAGAAAAAAACACGTCTACTTCTACTACCCTTGCACGCCAAATCTGTTAGATCGTGGAATGATGACCCGCTGCAGGAGTCCGATCACTAGAGGGCTCAAGCCACAATTTGAAGAGCTGAACGATTTCTCACTCCTGAAGGCTGGAACTCGTTTTTGCAGATTCACGTTCACTGACCAAACAAAAAGCAGCTGTTTTCGAGGGAGTGTCTCTGTGTCTCTTGGAAACTTACTGACTGACTGAAAAGAGCGGTGAGTGGAATGACTTGACTGACTGACTGACTGCGCGCTAACTGAACGGAAGGGGGGTTCAGATTGCGGCAGTGGTAACTCCCAGACAACGAGGAGGTGGGGGAGAAACCGCGGAAGCGCGCCCATTTTGCCGAAGGGAGTTCGGCATGTTCTGGGGGAGATTGGAAAGGGGGATGGGGAATCTGGGAGTCGGGGATTCCCCCGCGCTGACGAGATCCCGAGAACGAAGCCATGCCCTGTGCTGGCGGGCACAAATGCGGAAACACTTGGCGGTGGGCTGATCCCAAGGTGTGGAAACCTGCGCTTCGGTGACTGAACGATCTTCTTATTGGCTGGCTATTTCCAGTGATGGCTCGGCCCGAACCACAGGGTGCTTGCAGAAAAGCCAGGCAGGGGTGACGGTCTGATAATCGGGCAAGAGCGGTTCGCTCGAGGTCAGGTCGAGGTTCTGACGCGACGGTCTGACCGGAAATAACGATGGCATGTAGTGGAAACATCCTGCCCGTTGAACCCGGCACAATCGAAAATCTATAGCACTGTTTAGGCTTGTCAGAGCCGGGCACCTGACCTGACAAGAAGGCGAAGACTAGGAAAAAACGCGTACTCTATACAGAGTAATAAGTTCGACATTATTTCAATGACAGACTCCTGCCAGAACTTTCGTTCACTGCTTACGCCCGATTTCTTTCCGAACAACCTCATGTTCCACTATCCCATACCCCCTCAAAACCCTATTTCCTTGTCTTCACATTCAGGAAGCACGCAGCATTTACTCCAGCCGTTTCTAGTTTCCGTCTTTCCAGCCAAGCTACCCACTACTGTCCTATCAATAATTCCGTCTAGCTGTCGTCTGCAAGATGCAGCATGGCCGCGGCTCCAGATGACGATTTTCCTCCGCTAGTTGCGCAAGAAGCTGTAGCGCCATCCGAGCTCCCCAACCCGAAACCCGCTTGGGGAGCGCCCCGCGCAGTGTCCCTGCGCGAATCCCTCCGCGAATCCGCGGAAGCGGATCAAGGCGGATCCGGGAGCTCCGCCGTTTTTTCTCACGGAGCCAATGTGGTCTCGAGCGGAGCTGACGTGGCATCAGGCGGAAAACCCGCCAGCGGGTCTAGCGCGGACGCTGCCCCGCGCGGGCAGATACCCTCCGCGTCCGGCGCCGCCGCTTCCGGAGCGGTTCAGTGTCTTGTAGTGGACGCGAATGTTCTTATATCGGGGACGACCTCGTTACAGAAATTTGCCAGCGAGGCGGAGATTGTGACTGTACGCGAGGTGCTGGCGGAGGTTCGGGATCGCACCGCGCGGCAGCAGCTGTCCGTGCTCCCTTTCGATATTAAATGTCGAGAGCCTAGTGAAGAGGCAATTAAAGAGGGTACGTTAAGGAGGATAAGGGGTTTTAACCAGGGTGCGGGGGTTTAAGAGGGTAGTACTTTAAAGTGATCGATGAACTCTTCAGAGGTGCCGTTCTGGGATGCCCAAGGTTATGAGTTTTACGTACTTTTCCCAGCTCCAGGGTTCGGATCAGATTCCCCCCCCTCCCCCTCCCCCCTTTCTCCCATCCGACCCCCATTTTATCTCCCTATCCCCGCCTTTGTTTCCGCGTCCCCCAGTTCTCCGCTTCGCGCGCGCCACGGGTGACGTAGGCACTCTATCCGCCGTCGATTCCAAGCTGCTGGCGCTCGCAGTGACAGAGGAGATCCGATCTCACGGACGCGCGAATCTCCGCGCCGCCCCCGCCCGCCCAGTCTTCCAGAAGAGGACAAACGTGGCGATGCGCCAGGCGCTGCCCGGGTGGGGGGCGGAAAACGTGGCGAATCCGGATGAGTGGGCGGGGATAGATGCGGTGGCGGACGATGGGGGGAGGGGGAAGGGGAAGGGGGTAGGTGGATCTCGGATTTTAGGGGTGAGGGTTTTGGGGGAGGGGGATGAGAACGCGGAAGGTGAAGAAAAAGGGGAGGAAGGGGGGGAGGGGAAGGCGGGGGAGGAGGCGGGTGCGGGGGAGGCGGAGACTGGGGGGAACGGGGGCGCGGAGAGTGTGGAGGCGGGACTTCAGCAGATGAACTTGGGAGGAAATGGGGAAGCGGGGGAAGGTGGGGAAGATGGTGCGCGGAAGGGCGGAGCAGGCGGGGAAGCGGAGCAAGCGGGGGAGATGCCCGGGTGGGGGACAGTTGGGGGTGGAAGGGGGAGAGAGGGGGGGAGAGGGAGAGGGGGACGCAGGTGGGCGCCTCGGGAAATAAAGCCGGTAGTAGCTGAAGAGCGGTTCGAGGGGAAGTTAGTCGTGGCTGGGGTAGACGCTTCTAAGCGAGGAGAGTCGGCTGACGTGGCGGGAGGGCATGCTGGCTCAGCAAGGCGAGCAGCAGGAGAGGAGGGCGAGGGAGAGGAGGAAGCGGGTGAGGAGGAGGAGGAGGGGGAATGGGAGGCGGCGAGGGGGAAGAGCGGGCGGCGGAGGTGGAAGCGCAGGGCGTGGAAGCGCGCGGCCATGGAGGAGCTGGCGCGCATTGCGCAGGAGCAGGCGCAGCGCGCAGCCGCGCTGGCGGGGGGGCCGCCCGCGATGGGGGTTGATGGTGGCGGGGAGGAGGGGAAGGGTGGGGAAGAGGAGAGAAAGGATGGCGAGGAAGGGGGGAATGTTGGGGATGAGGAGAAGCAGAGCGGCGGTGCGGGTGATACTGATGTGGGGGGAGAGGACAAGGAGGAGCAAGGGAAAGGTGGGGAAGTGAATGAGGGAGAAGGGGAAGGGCAGGAAGAGGAGGGGAGTGGAGAAGAGGAAGGAGAGGAAGAGGAGGGAGAGGAAGAGGAGGGAGAGGAGGAAGAAGGAGAGGAGGGAGGAGAGGAGGGAGAGGATGACGGAGAGGGGGAGGGGAGTTTGGACGGCAGCAGTGAAGCAGCGTCCACGTCATCATCATCGTTATCCACGTCAGCAGTGGCCCTGATGACGTCAGACTACGCCATGCAGAACGTGGCACTGCAGATGGGCCTGCGCCTCCTCTCCGCCCAATCAGGGATGCGCATCGCCCAGGTGCACAGGTGAGCCTTCAGGTGAAAATCCAGGTGAAACTCAGGTAGCTTTCAGGTGCCTTAGGATCAGCCCACCACCGAGCAGGTCTACTCCATCGTTCACCCCCTCTTCGGTGTTCCGTCTATTCATCCTTCCTGTTGGTGTTTCTTTCACACCATCTTTCCCCCCCTATCTCTCGCTCCTTCTCTTGTGTCCTTGCTCCCTTGCGTCCTCTCCTCATTCCTCCACGTCTGTCCATTCTGTGCCTCCACTCTGTCTCACTCCCATCGTTAATCTATCTCACTCTCTCTCTCTCTCACTCTCCCTCACTCCAGGTGGGTGCAGCGCTGCTCTGCCTGCTCGGCTGTGACGCCCGACATGACGCGTGTCTTCTGTCCTGACTGCGGCAACGGCACCACACTCAACAAGGTGACTTTCACCTTACCTTGAACGCACACTCGCGCTTTCTCTCCCCATTCTCTCACACGCACACGCTTTCTCTCTCCTGCTCCACCCGACATGACGCGGGTCTTCTGTCCTCACTGCGGCAACGGCACCACACTCAACAAGGTGACTTTCACCTTACCTTGATCGCACACTCGCAATCCCTCTCCCGGTTCTCTCTTACACACATGGTCTCGCTCCTCCTCTCATGCACACGCTCTCTCGCACACTCTTTCCCTTTCTATCTCACACTCTCTCTCTGCTCCACATCTGTGCAGGTGGGCGTGGATGGCGTGGTGCATGCAGGCTTGCACCTGAAAGGCCCTGTTGTCTCTCTCATACTCACTCCGCTTACTCTCTTACTCACTCCCACTCTCTCTTACTCTCTCCGCGCTTCCCTCTCTGTACAGGTGACAGTGACGGTGGGAGTGGATGGCGTGGTGCATGCAGGCGTGCGCAAGAGACACAACATCCGTGGCAGCAAGGTGAGAGCAAGAGGGAAGGAGGGGTGGGAATGGAAGGAGGGGTGGGACGGAGGGGTACTGCTGATTGTATGGGATGGCGTGGTGCATGCAGGCGTGCGCAAGAGACACAACATCCGTGGCAGCAAGGTGAGAGCAAGAGGGAAGGAGGGGTGGGAATGGAAGGAGGGGTGGGACGGAGGGGTACTGCTGATTGCAAGGGATGGCGTGGTGCATGCAGGCGTGCGCAAGAGACACAACATCCGTGGCAGCAAGGTGAGAGCAAGAGGGAAGGAGGGGTGGGAATGGAAGGAGGGGTGGGACGGAGGGGTACTGCTGATTGCAAGGGGTGGCGTGGTGCATGCAGGCGTGCGCAAGAGACACAACATCCGTGGTAGCAAGGTGAGAGCAAGAGGGAAGGAGGGGTGGGAATGGAAGGAGGGGTGGGACGGAGGGGTACTGCTGATTGCAAGGGGTGGCGTGGTGCATGCAGGCGTGCGCAAGAGACAACATTCGTGGTAGCAAGGTGAGCGAGTAGGGGGAGTGGTAGGGAGGGGGCACGCACGGCATGGGGTGAAGCAAGGGATGGGGTGGTGAAAACAGTACATCATCCGAGGCAGCAAGGTAAGGGAAGGGGGGGACGCGATTTGGAGGAAGATGGGAGGCAAGAATGACCAAGGGCACCTCATTTACCCATGCTCAATCCCACCCCTTTCCCCATCTGCAGTTCCCCCTGCCCATGCCTAAGGGAGGCAGGACAGGAGCAGCCAAGGACCCTGTCTTGAGGGAAGACCAGCTGCTTCCAAAAAACGGCCGGCGGCAATTCACCAAGAAGGCAAACTCACCTACGCGCTGGCACCTGACTCTCTTACCCCTGCTCATTCCCACCCTCCTCCCATCCACAGTTCTCCCTGCCCGTGCCGAAAGGAGGCAGGACAGGAGCGGCCAAGGACCCTGTTCTCAGGGAAGACCAACTCCTTCCCAAGAACGGGCGGCGGCGATTCACCAAGAAGAAGGGAAAGCCCACTGACGTGCTGGCACCGGACTTTGTGACGTTCTTTGATGAGGTGGGCGAGGGGAAGGCGGGGGGAGGCGGGGCGGTGAACAGCAGGGCGGTGGTGGCGACGATTGCAGCGGGGGGGGATACGAGGAGAATGGCTGTTGCTCTGGGGTTGAAGGTTAATCCGAACAGGGTGAAGCGGGGAGGCAAGAAGTGAGTGCACTGGGAAAGGTGGTGGCAGCAGGGTGTTTCCTAGACAAGTGGGCCCAGTTGACTTTTGAGTCGACTCAAAAGTCAACTAGGTGGTGGCAGCAGGGTGTTTCCCAGACAAGTGGGCCCACCACGGTGAACAGCCGAGCGGTGGTGGCGGGAGGGGATACCAGGAGAATGGCTGTTGCTCTGGGGTTGAAGGTCAATCCGAACAGGGTGAAGAGGGGGGGGGAGAAGTGACAGATACTTTAGCGAGTGCGTTCCTGTAGCGGTTTCATGCTGACTAGACTCAGGATAGTTGCAGTGGTGCCGGTGGTTGTGACGGTGGCGGCGGTGGTGGCTGTGGGGGAGAGGGTACGGGGAGGATGGCTGTTGCATCGTGGCGGGAAGTGAGTGTGCTTGTTGGCAGCTTTATAGGGGTACGGTTTTGGGAGTCGGCTGCTAAATAGGGGCACGGTTTTGGATGGGGTTGTCTGGATTTTAGAATCCAAGAGGATGGATTGTGAAGGAAGTGGATTGTGGGCAGGGCCATTGTTATTTTTTATCAGCATGCTTTGGGGTAACCTGAAATGAAATGTGAAGGGAAATGGTATGTTTTTACATTATGACTTCAAGTATACATCACAATTATTCATCAGCCCACTTGTGCCTCTCACACAACCAAATGTCCAACGTTACATATCCTGATTGACAACAGCACTTCGCATGTGTAGCTGCTATAACGGGACGAGCAGCAGCAGCAGCAGCAGCAGCAGCAGCTGGAGCAGCACGAGCGTCAGGAGAAGCACCAGGAGGAGAGGAGGAGAAGGCTGCTGTTTGGTCAGATAAAATCGACTACACATAGACTCAAGCCAGGCCACACAAGTGTAAAACGCCAGGCCACACAAGTGTAAAACGCCCTGGTTATTAGAGGAAGCAAGGGCTCGATTAGATGGGGGGAGGGGGGGACGCAATCCCGCCCGTGGGGGGCGGGGGAGAAGCGGTAGTAGCGGGGGGAGGCGACGCGGTAACAGCGGGGGGAGGCGACGGTGTAACTACAGGAGGCGGGGGGGAGGAGGTAACCGGCGTGGGCGGAGGCGGAGAGCTGACCACAGGAGGGGGGGAAGCGGGGGGAGTTGATGGGGGAGGCGGGGACTTGGGGGGCGACGTGGGCGGAGACGGGGAAGGGGGAGGAGGGGACGCGTCGCCGTCATCACCGCCGTCATCCGCGGGCGGGGCGCGGTACACGTCATCGGGGATAAGGAGCGCGTCGACGAGGTGGAGTTGGAAGGAGGTGGTGTTGGCGAGGTTGGGCGCGATCATCGTCGATTTCGACCGCCCGCTGCCCGACCGAAACACGACCGTGAAAAACGCGCTCTCGTCCGACTTGAACACGGGCCGCTTGGCGAGCGTCGCGAACTGTTCGCACGGGATTGGCGAATGGGGAATAGAGGGGAAACGCAGGAGAATAACATGCATGAGGACGGGGAAGTCCGGAGGGAGGGGAAAACTGGGTGAGTTTATGCCTTTCTGTTCGACATTTGACCCGCTACAGGCATACCTTTCTATTGGCCGAAAATTCGACAAGCTTCGTGTAGTCGAATTTGTTTCCGAGGATCATGTGGTACCGGAGCGTGGCGCGCGCGAGCAACGGGTTATTGATGTACGGCGACGCGGGCGGCAGCGACTGCAGCGCGTCGGGGGACGGCACGAGGAACGTCGCGCCGCTGGTGCCGGCCTTGACTGTCGCCTCGAGAAGCGTCGCCAGCAGACCTGGAACACGCACGAAAGAGAGACGAGAAGTGGGCGAGAGTCAATAAAGTCAACGTCGCGCCGCTGGTGCCGGCCTTAACTGTCGCCTCAAGCAGCGTCGCCAGCAGACCTGGAACACGCACGAAAGAGACGAAAAAATGGGCGAAAGTCAATAAATTCAACGTAGGTCTGTTGGTGCCGGCCTTGACGGTCGCCTCAAGGACCGTCGGCACAAGCTGGAAGCGATATGGGAGACACGGAAGAAAAGGGGCAAAAAGAAGCTACGGAGAAAAAACGGACTGTAGGGAAAAGCAAGGATCAGGCCGTATACGGGCTGGCCGGAAAAGGCGTACGCCGGTGTGCAGCGCGTACGAGCAGAGTACGCTCGGAACATACGACAGGAACGTGTTTCTCCTTTCTCAACGACACATCACCGAATCAACTTTTTTTGTTCAGGCGCCTCAGATAAAGTCGATGCTTACCTGCTTTTTGGAAGAACTCTACGAACTGCTTCTGCTTGCTCAGCGACATCACCAGGGTGAACACCTTCTGCGCGTCAGCGAGGTTCACCATAGCGGGTCCGCTGTCCCCTGCTTCCGCCTTCTTCTTCCGCTTCGGAATAAGCCGCTTGATCAGCCCCTTCTTTTTCGTCGGCGCCGGTGAGCTTGTCTTGGGTGGCGAGGAGCTCTTTGGCGGGGATGAGGATTTCGGGGGAGATTTCACCGGGGGCGATTTCGTTGGCGGCGATTTATTGCTCGAAGTCGCCAGCGGAGTCGCGGTCGATCCCGCTGCATTCGACTTCGATAGAAGCTCTCTGCCACTCAACTCGCTGCTTGCTTCCAGCTGAGTGGGTAGAAGCGACGCGACCATAGAATGCCTACCCAGCGCGCATGGCGCGGCGCATAAAGCTACAACGGCCAGAAGGAGAAGGCACGCCCGGAAGGTTAGGCGCGGAAGATGCGCCATGGGCCGTGGATGGTGTTGGAGCAAAGTGCTGGAATATGCGAAGGACTTAATTGGGGTTCCGGACTAGCAGTAAAGGTTGTTGTTGTACGGTTCTTATTAGTATAACAGGGGCCCTGGTAGTTACCGTGGATGCACTTACTACTATCCTACCTAAGTTGCGTCATGTGGTTCAGTCAAAGAGCTTCTCACCCGAGCGCAGGAATTTCTGAGTTGGTCAATGGTGCTAATACTAAAATGAAAGTGGCTGGAGGCTCGAGATCTTCGTGGTGTCCGACCAGCCCGCGCGCCAGTTACGAAAGGAAGGCACTTCCTATCGTGATGTGCAGCAGCGTTCAGGTTTTTCTAAGGCCTCTGTGTCGGCTATCTGCGCTCCGATGTGCATGTGGAATCCGCTTTCTGCTGATGATGGCTGGTGGATAAAATATTTCTAGAAGCTAGGTGCAAAGAAACGGCTAGTGCTGTGGTGTGGATGTGAGCTTTCTTGGAATGGGATGGGATGTGCTGTGCAAGTGGGACGGTACGTCTGCTTGGTTGGGAAGTTGGGAGAAGCGATGAGAAACCGAGTAGCCACGATACACACAGCAGATCTGCGGGACAGATGGAACGCCCGAGTCGCATAAATTTCAATGTGAGAAACGAGCCGCGACATCGGGCGCAAATCCACGGAAAGGTGATTTGAGAGGCTCCGCATCTCACGCAACCAATATGGGATCCGGAAGGTGATGTGGGGTTCTTCCTGTCGGTGCCCTCGTGGCACAAAAACGAGTTTCTTGAGGTGTCGGCAGGGGGAGTGTCGGAAAATCTGACAGCCGTCAGGCATTATCGAAGCTATCTAATGTACGTGGTAACAAACCCCTTCTTACGCTCAACACGTTCTTCGGAACCAATTATGCTCATTATGTTTATGCTAACCCCTTTGTATTTAATTGCTTCCTGGCCTTTTTTACCATACATACGTTCTATTGAGACCAGTAACAGTCTGTAAAGTCTCAATAAATCGAATTATTATGCATATTGTATGTCTGCAAGCATAGCACATATTTCAAACGTATTATTGCTAGACAATGCTACCGTACCGTACCATTGCAGGTCACACGACATGATCCTGATCATGTTATACTGAGTGTGCAAGTTGTAGTGGTTAATAGTTGGCAACTAAACCATAAGGTTTGAATGAGCACTGCTGCACACATCGGTGTTCGTGGAATATGCTGTCGAAATTGGCCACTGCACAGCCTTAAAGCCCAGCCCCCGAATCACAAAGGCCTTCACAAACTGGGGCCAGTCTGTGTCTCTCTCCTACTGGTTTCGGTAAAGAAAGGTTTAGGGGAGGTTTTCGAACCTCAAATCTCTGCTTTCTCAAACCTATTTTCCCGCGTTGACTTCCGTTGAGTAATTCGGGTGTTGCCCTGCACGTGTGTGACATGGAGGGTTTGATACGGTAGTTCGCACAGGAAACATAAGGTACGAATGAGCACTGCTGTACACTCTGCTAGGTGCTGCGAAGAACGAAAACAAGCCTTTTTTGCATTCCCACAACCACGACACATGTGGACAGCGGACAGATCGTTTTGAATCCACCTTGTCGTGTCTCTAATCGCTAGACACAAGCAAGTGGTGGTATGTGCTGCTGGCGTTTCCTGCTTCATGTTTGTGCCGAATGCAACCTTTAATGCACGTATACTTGATGTACACATTCACAACAATATGGCAGTATGACTTTATCCTAGTTTACGTAACAGCATGCCATTCTGGCCAGTCAGCCGTTGGCATTATTCTAAAAGAGTATACGTCGAACGTCCCGACACTGGGGCTGTGGGAGGGGGAGGGAAGGAGGAGGGGAGGAGGGAGGGGTTGTGGCTGGAGTGGCCTCAGTAGGAGAGGATGTGGAGGAGTCAGTGGTGGGAGGCGAAGAGACAGGACGAGGAGGAGGAGGGGGGGGGAGGGGGGGGGGGGGGGGGGGGGGGGGGGGGTGGGAGGAGATTCAGGGCGGTGGTGGTGTTGTGGGTGAGGTTGATTCGCTGGTAGGAGGGGGAGGGGAGGGAGAGGGCGGGGTTGTGGCTGGAGTGGTCTCGGTAGGAGTGGTCGGGGAGGAAGAGTCAGGGGTGGGAGGCGACGAGACAGGAAGAGGAGGGGGGGATTCAGGAAGAGGTGGGGAAGGGCTAGGGGGAGGAGGTGAGGGGTTGACGGGAGGAGACGAGGGGACAGTGGTAGGAGGAGGTGAGGGGTTGAGGGGAGGAGACGAGGGGACAGTGGTAGAAGGAGGCGAGGGGTTGAGGGGAGGTGAAGGAACCGAAGGAGAGGGAACTGAAGGAGAGGGAACCGAAGGAGGAGGAGAGAGACTGCCAGCAGCGGTAGAGTTGCCACCACCGCTGCTCCTGCCAGCATCATTTCCGGTGCCACCACCACCACCGCTCGCACCGCTCCCACTACTGCCACTCCCAGTACCACCACTTGCATCGCTCCCACCACTCCCTCCGGTGTCATCAATCCCAGTGCCATCACTCCCGTCGCTCCCACCAGCAGCATCACCGCCACCGGGCATGGAGTGCAGGATGGCATCTGGCACAAGTAGCGAGTCCACAAGGTGCACCTGGAAACACAAGGGAGTGTGGGGAGTATGTGTGAAGAGAACAGGTGGGGATGATATTTATAGTCGACTGAAAAACCCCACCAGCACCAGCAGCATCACCGCCACCGGGCATGGAGTGCAGGATGGCATCTGGCACAAGTAGCGAGTCCACAAGGTGCACCTGGAAACACAAGGGAGTGTGGGGAGTATGGGTGAAGAGAACAGGTGGGGATGATATTTATAGTCGACTGAAAAACCCCACCAGCACCAGCAGCATCACCGCCACCGGGCATGGAGTGCAGGATGGCATCTGGCACAAGTAGCGAGTCCACAAGGTGCACCTGGAAACACAAGGGAGTGTGGGGAGTATGGGTGAAGAGAACAGGTGGGGATGATATTTATAGTCGACTGAAAAACCCCACCGGCACCAGCAGCATCACCGCCACCGGGCATGGAGTGCAGGATGGCATCTGGCACAAGTAGCGAGTCCACAAGGTGCACCTGGAAACACAAGGGAGTGTGGGGAGTATGTGTGAAGAGAACAGGTGGGGATGATATTTATAGTCGACTGAAAAACCCCACCAGCACCAGCAGCATCACCGCCACCGGGCATGGAGTGCAGGATGGCATCTGGCACAAGTAGCGAGTCCACAAGGTGCACCTGGAAACACAAGGGAGTGTGGGGAGTATGGGTGAAGAGAACAGGTGGGGATGATATTTATAGTCGACTGAAAAACCCCACCGGCACCAGCAGCATCACCGCCACCGGGCATGGAGTGCAGGATGGCATCTGGCACAAGTAGCGAGTCCACAAGGTGCACCTGGAAACACAAGGGAGTGTGGGGAGTATGGGTGAAGAGAACAGGTGGGGATGATATTTATAGTCGACTGAAAAACCCCACCAGCACCAGCAGCATCACCGCCACCGGGCATGGAGTGCAGGATGGCATCTGGCACAAGTAGCGAGTCCACAAGGTGCACCTGGAAACACAAGGGAGTGTGGGGAGTATGTGTGAAGAGAACAGGTGGGGATGATATTTATAGGCGACTAAAAAACCGCACCGGCACCAGCAGCATCACCGCCACCGGGCATGGACTGCAGGATTGCGTCTGGCACAAGGAGCGAGTCTACCAGGTGCACGTGGAAACACAAACAGTGAGTCCAGGTGATCAGTACAGGGCCTGCAAGGTCCTGCAATGGAGATGACACACCCTTAGTGACCCTACAAAGAAATGCAATGGCGGTCGTCAGTGCGCAATTGTGCAAGCGAGGGGGGAGGGAGTCAACGAGGTGCACCTGGAAAAGCTCTGTCTTGGCGAGGTTGGGTGCGAGCAACACGGACTTGGAGTGACCGCTGCCCGAACGGTGCAATCAAGGGGTGACTTGGAGCGGAGCGGAATTTGAGGAGACTCAAGACTCACCTGGAAGAATTCCGTCTTGGCGAGGTTGGGTGCGAGCAGCGTGGACGTGGAGCGACCGCTACCCGAGCGGAAGACAACCGTGAAGAATGCGCTCTCGTCCGACTTGAACACCGACTCCTTGGCGAGCGTCGGGAACTGGTTGGACAGCGGGAGGAAGGAAATCGGGGGGAATGGGGATGGGGGTAGAATGGGGAGAGTATGAGTGTGAAGAATGCGCTCTCATCCGACTTGAACACCGACTCCTTGGCGAGTGTGGGGAACTGATTGGGAGGAGTGGGAGAGGGGCATGCAGTGGTGCATGTGAGGTGTGGAAATTGAGTGTGAAGAATGCGCTCTCGTCCGACTTGAACACAGACTCCTTGGCGAGTGTGGGGAACTGGTTGGGAGGAGTGGGAGAGGGACATGCAGTGGTGCATGTGAGGTGTGGAAATTGAGTGTGAAGAATGCGCTCTCGTCCGACTTGAACACCGACTCTTTGGCGAGTGTGGGGAACTGATTGGGAGGAGAATTTGGGAGAGGGACATGCAAAGAAGGGTTGATCTGAGTGGTGCGGGAGTGTGCATGTTAGGAACGGAAGCTTCACCCGCAGGCAGCAGCATCTGCACCCAATCCCACTGAGCCGGGACACACCCTAAGCAGCCCATGTAGACAATCGCTCCCCACTCCCCCTGCCCGAACCCAGTGTAAACACTCGCTCCCCCCCATCTGTTTCCCCAGGAGCACGCAGTGCCCAGCCTTTCTCCCCCCCTCAGTATCCCCTCCCACCTACCCAGACACACCCACAGCCCGCTCTATATACTCACGCCGGTGTCCGCGGGTCGCTCGACGAGCGCTGTGTAGTCCATCTGTTTCCCAAGAATCATGTGGTACCGCAACGTCATTCCCCCTTCCGTATCCCCCCCTTCCCCCCACCCACCCGCACAGACCCGCAGCCCGCTCTATGTACTCACGCCGGTGTCCGCGGGTCGCTCAACGAGCGCCGTGTAGTCCATCTGCTTCCCCAGAATCATGTGGTATCGCAGCGTCGTTCGCGCGAGCGCGGGGTTGTTGAAATACGGCGACGCGGGCGGCAGCGACTGCAGCGCGTCGGGGGACGGCACGAGAAACGTCGCGCCGGCGCCGTTCCCCTTGGTAAGCGACTCGAGAAGCACGGAAAGCAGACCCGCGTTGCTGATATACTTGACGAATTGCCGCTGCTTGCTCAGACCTTGCACGAGGTTGAACACCTTCTGCGCTTCCGCAAGGTTGACCATGAACTTGGGTTTGGGAGAGGTGGAGGCGGAGGTCGAGGTGGTGTTCTTCTTTTTGCCGAACAGCTTCTCTCGAAGCTTCCCCTTTTTCTTCCTTTCGGTGGTGGCCGGTGATTTGGACGGTGATTTTGACGGCGATTTTGACGGTGACTTTGACGGCGATTTTGACGGTGATTTGGGTGGTGGGTTTGACGGCGACGGAGACGGCGTTTGCTCCTTCGCTGGTGGGTTTGTCGTCGGCGAGTTTTTCTTGGTCGGCGACGGGCTTACTTTCGGTGGCGACGGGCTTTTCTTAGGTGGCGAAACATTCTCCTTCGCTGGGGATTTAGCGGGCACTTTCACTGGGGTTTTTGTCGTCGCTGGCGATGATGGATGCTTCGTTGCCGGAGAGGTAACTTTCTTCTTCGGGGTTTTCGGGGGCTTGGGCAGAGACTTGGTCGACGGCGGCAGCGATTTCGGCTTCGTCACTTTCGTTACAGTCTTCTTCGCGGATTGGCTAGCTTGCGCCGTAGTCGACTTCACTTGCTTCGTCGCAGCCGAATTTGCTGATTTCGCTGACAATTTCGCTGAAGTCGCAGCCTTATTTCCAGCGGATTTCACTGATGACGACGACGATGAAGACTTTGCTGCAACTTTTTTCACCCCTGCGCCTGTGTCACCCGCAGATTCCCCCCTTACTAGCCGCGGTTTCTTTGCTGGAGATGCGGCGGGTCGGGTCGCAGATTTTGCCGTGGTCTTACTTGAAGGTTTTACTGTCGCTTTACCGAGTGCGGGGGCTGGCGTGCAGATAGCGAGAAATACAACTATGCAGAGAACGGCGGCCAGAACCACCGCCCTTCGGCGGGCCATGGTCAGATGGACAACGGAGATTTATTAGCGATTCTGACTATGATTCTTAGGGAGGATTTTCGCATGCCTAGCCGTGAGGAGTTGGGATTATGAGAGCCTCAGGCTCGAAATTGTGAGTGAAGAGGCGTAGCTATGAAGGAATCGAGGAATAAGGACTGCTCAGGAGGAATTTGGCAAGGTATAGCAGCGAGTGAGCGGAAGTATTATACGCCTCGAAGGATCTAAAACAGTAGAGTCGAGTGCCACAACCGTATAGACAGGAATGCGCAGTGAATTTACGCCAATGTCGGTCGGTGATGCGTGAGCGGGTGATACTGAAGCTGACGGGTCAACTATGGCGAGGAGGCTGAGTAGTGAAGGGTTTTTGCAAGATGCAATAGGCGGTTACATCGGGAACGCGGGTGAGTGAGTGAGAGGTGCGAAATTTGAGTTGTGCGAGCGAGGAAATTCATGCCGTCGAGGGCAAATTGTGGGATGTCGGCTGGGGAAACGAGGTGGAGGGGATTATCGAATTTGCCATGCCCCGCTTTTCATCCCGAACCGCATCCGGCCATCAATGTGTGACCGATTCGCAAAGGCCGAGGCGCCTTGAGATTGCTTGGGGAGCAAAATTGATGGCGCAGGAGGTGGGTGCTGGAGGACGCACGATGACGGATTATGAAGTGGGCGATGGGAATCGCTGAACTTGTACGGCTGAGATTTGAGAAAGGTTCGAGATTCTTCCCGTTTGTTTCGCAAACCAGGCCTGGATTCGTTGAACAAATTCGCACCATAACTTGTGTTCTGTACCATTATGAAAGTAGGCAGTGGCTTATTGTTATTGTTATAAGCCAATAGCATAAAGCCCAGCCAGCCACCTTGTCTTCACATAGGGATGTGGCGGAGATTGTGGCATAAGCCCAGACAAAGAGTCCATCTTCAAGTGCCATGCATCACAGCGTTTGCACATCCAGCGCTGTCAGCCATTGGTCCATGACACATTGTCATAGCGAAGGTCATATTCCCATCGATTTGTTTTTTAGACAGTTCACAACTTTGTGCAATACGACGCGCCCAACCTTATATGGACGTGGATATTGCATCGTTGACGATGTCACAACAGGCCAAATGCCGTGAGTAATTGACCGATAATATTTATTATGGGTACAAATGTGACATCTCTACAAAAGTATGTATTGCCACGAAGATGTCCAATGCATCAGTTAATAATGAAGATACATCGTACCAGGCCACAACGTGCCACAAGGAAAGTGGCACGCCCTGTGACTTTAGGGGAACTAGCACTTGGTTACAAAGCCATGGCATGGCAGTGACCAAGGGCTGAAGAACCTCCAAAAGGAAGCCAAACAATGGGAAGCAGATGTGTTCAGAGCGGGCTAGTGGAAGGCTGGTGTGGGCACAGGTGCGACCTGCTTCACTGCTGCAATTTGAGTCGACTCTAGAGGCACCGTGCAGAGGGGGCCTTTGGAGACGTCGCAAGAGTCACTGCGCAGGTGGTGGTGGCACCGTGTTGTTGAGATCTGAACTGGACGGAGGAGGGGTTGCTGTTGCCACGTGTGAGGGGTGCTTCTCTGCTGCCCTTAACAGCACCTCAAGAGTCACTGCGCAGGTGGTGGTGGCACAGTGGTGTTGGGATCTGAACTGGACAGAGGAGGGGTTGGTGTTGCCACGGCCGTGGTCTGCTTCTCTGCTGCCACCGGTGGTGGCGGTGGGGATGCTATGGGAAGGTTTGACGGTGCGGATGGTGGGGTAGGGGTTGCCGAAGGGGATGGCTGGGGAGGGTTTGGTGGAAGGGTGATTGTAGGGGATGGTGTTGGAGGGGCGAAGTAGACCGAGTCTGGGATGAGCAGTGAGTCGAGTACGTGCACCTGGGGGGTGGGGTGGGGTGGGGTGGGGTGGGGTGGGATGGAGCTGGGTGAGGTGGGGTATGGTGGGGGTCAGGTGGGGCGGGGTGGAGTGGGGTGGGGTGCAGTAGAGGGTGGTATTGCACGGATGTGCACGGAATACGGCAGCAAGGACGAGTGGGAAGTGCCAGACCTGCATGCACTCACTTGTGCCCGACATCCCTCAACCCATAACCCTCACCTGCATGCTCTCGTCCGTGTATGCGTTGGGCATGGTGATGGTGACATGCGGAGGCCCTACACCTGCATGCTCTCACGTGTGCCCGAGAGCTCTCATCCCATAACCCTCACGCAATAGCCCTCACCTGCATGCTCTCGTCCGTGTATGCGTTGGGCATGGTGATGGTGGCGCGGGAGGGCCCTTGGCTTGGCCGCAGCACCACGTTGAACATGAAGCTCGCTGCATCCTTCACCAGAGGCTCGTGCTGATCCGTCATGTACTGGGGGAAAGAAGAGGGAGTGAGAGAGATGGAAAGAAGATGGAAAAGGAAGAGCAAGTGAGAGAGAATGAGGCCGCAGCACCATGTTGAAGAGGAAGCTCGCTGCGTCCTTCACTAGGGGCTCGTGCTGATCTGTCATGTACTGGAGGGGAAACAGAGGGAGAGATAGAGGGATAATGTGGGGGTGGGCAATGAGAAGGAAAGGCGCGAGGGCCCTCTGATTGGCCGTAGCACCATGTTGAACGAAAAGCTCGCTGCGTCCTTCACCGGAGGCTCGTGCTGACCCGTCGGGTACTGGAGGGACGGAGAGGGGGAGGAAGTGGGGGAGGGGAGGTGAAGAGCAAGCGTGGGAGCATGTAGCCGGAACACCACAGTACCATCACCCTCCCATCCCCCTCCATCACCCATCCCCTTCCCATCCGCCTCCCATCCCCCTGAACCCCACTCACCATGGTCCCAGTGGCGGATTGAGTCAGCTCCGTGTAGGTGACCTGCCTTCCTCGCACCACGCTGAAGTTGACACCACTGCCGTGGCGATGGCCGGGTGGGTGATGAGCGGCGACGAGGCTGTACCCTCCCCCAGCCTCCCTCCCTTGCCCCCAGTCCCCCACTCACCATGGCCCCAGTGGCGGCTTGAGTCAACTCAGTGTAGGTGACCTGCCTTCGTCGCACCACATGGAAGTTGACACCACTGCCGTGGCGATGGCCGGGTGGGTGATGAGCGGCGATGAGGCTGTACCATTCCCCCCCCCCTCTTCCTTCTCTTGCCCCCAGTCCCCCACTCACCGTGGTCCCAGTGGCGGCTTGAGTCAACTCCGTGTAAGTGACCTGCCTTCCTAGCACCACATGGAAGTTGACGACTGCCGTGGCGATGGCTGGATCGTTGATGAGCGGTGATGCGGCTGTACCATTCCCCCCTCCCTCCCTTGCCCCCAGTCCCCCACTCACCATGGTCCCAGTGGCGGCTTGAGTCAACTCAGTGTAGGTGATCTGCCTTCCTCGCACCACATGGAAGTTGACGACTGCCGTGGCGATGGCTGGGCCGTTGATGAGCGGCGATGAGACCCCCAACCCCCCCACCCCCCACCCTCGCATTCCCACAACCCACTCCCCCAGCCCCCAACTCACCGTGGTCCCAGTGGCGGCCTGAGTCAACTCCGTGTAGGTGACCTGTCGCCCCCGCACCACGTGGAAGTTCACGACCGCCGTGGCAATAGCTGGATCGTTGATCAGCGGCGAATCGGCGGGCAGGTCCTTGATGGTGTCGGGATCGGGCACGAAGAAGGTGACCTTCTCGGATGAATTGAGTGCCTTGCCCATCAACGTGAGGAGACCTGAGTAGGGGGGATGCAAGGGGGATGGGGAATGGGATGAGCGGCGAATCGGCGGGCAGGTCCTTGATGGTGTCGGGATCGGGCACGAAGAAGGTGACCTTCTCGGATGAATTGAGTGCCTTGCCCATCAACGTGAGGAGACCTGAGTAGGGGGGATGCAAGGGGGATGGGGAATGGGATGAGCGGCGAATCGTCAGGCAGATCCTTGATGGTGTCGGGATCAGGCACGAAGAATGTGACTTTTTCTGTCGAGTTGAGTGCTTTCCCCATGAGAGTGAGGAGACCTGGAACCACAAGAGGGGATGAGAGGGGGCAGTGGGAAGGGCGAATCGTCAGGCAGGTCCTTGATGGTGTCGGGATCAGGCACGAAGAACGTTACTTTCTCGGTTGAGTTGAGCGCCTTGCCCATGAGAGTGAGGAGACCTGGGGGAGATGGGAGAGGATGGCAGGATGGGAGGGGGCAATGGAGGGTGATGGATGAGTGGGGAGATGGAAATATCTTGCGATTTCGTAGGAACGCCTTACCTCCGTTGATGGCGAGCATCACAAACTACGGGTCGTCCAGGTACGGCTGTAGCGTCGTCGGCACCTCCCTTATGGGGCAGTTCAAGCGCCTTACGGAATTCTGCAAGTCCTGAAAAGCTCTATGATGCCCCCCAAAAGCCTTACTTCCGTTGATGGCGAACATCAAGTCCTTACGGGTCGTCCAGGTACGGCTGTAGCATCGTCAGCACCTCCGCTTGACTTTTGAGTCGACTCAAAAGGGACCCCTAATGCTTCACCAGAATCAATCATGACCAATCTGCGCGTGATCATGAATCCTTTTGAGTCGACTCAAAAACCAATCTGCGCGTGATCATGAATCCTTTTGAGTCGACTCAAAAACCAATCTGCGCGAGATCATGAATCCTTTTGAGTCGACTCAAAAACCAATCTGCGCGTGATCATGAATCCTTTTGAGTCGACTCAAAAACCAATCTGCGCGTGATCATGAATCCTTTTGAGTCGACTCAAAAACCAATCTGCGCGTGATCATGAATCCTCACCTCCGTTAATCGCGAACATCATGAATTGCGGGTCGTCGAAGTACGGCTGTAGCATCTTCAGCACCTTCTGCGCGTTCCCCAGGTCCACTCCGCCGCTCCCCGTGGGCGGAGACGGCGGAGGGGGACTCGGCGGAGGCGGAGACTTCTGCGCAGAAGACGGCTTGCGCCGCTTGGGGGGAGAAACAGGCGGGGGAGACTTCGGGGGGGACCGCTTAGGGGGGGGTTTCTTAGCGGGGGGCGGCTGCTTGGGGGATTTCCGCTTAGGCGGGGAGGAGGAGTGCGGCGGGGGGGGACGCTTCTTGGGGAGGATTGGCGAGCGCTTCTTAGGGGGGGAAGTCCTCCGCTTGGGCGGGGAAACTCCGCGCTTGGGCGGGGAAACGCTGCGCTTGGGCGGGGGCGATTTCGAGCCGCCTGCGGGAATTTTCGTGGGGATCTTCGGCAGTTGATTCGTCGATTTCTTCGGCGGTGCAGGCGTCTTCTTCTTAGGTGGCGGGGACGCTCTGATCATAACGCTGATTAATCTGCTGCCGATCTTAGGACTCTTCTTGGTCGAACCGGGTCGCGGAGCCGCCGCCGCCGGCGGTGGCAGCGGCGGCGTCGACTGCGCGCGTTTCAGCAGCTCGGTGTAGAGCAGCGATATGGTCTCCCTGGATCGCGCGGCGCTCGCCGCCGTGGGTAACGGCGGCTCTGGCGGCGGTTTTTTCACGAAGTTCTCCTCTACGTTCCGGGGCTTGAAGAAATTCGGCGCGTTTGACGGCGATTTCGACGCCGAGCTTACAGGATTCCGGCTGCTACTCTTGAAACTGCTCCGCTTCTCGGAGCTTGTATCCAGTAAAGTTGTTAACACGCGCGTATTTCCTCTCCCATTACGGGCGCCATTCGCTATGGATCGAACGCTTATAGCAGCGGAATCTGTGCCGGCTATGGCGGCGGCAGTTGAGCTGGTGGACGGAGCTGCCGCGGGGAGGGCGGAGAGGAAGAGCAACGCTAACGCGAGGGCGAGAGAAAACGCTATTCGAGTCGGCGCCCACGGCGATGGAGGTGAACGATTCCGCACCTGATCCCTCTGCCGGCAATCCGCCATGACGGCCGTCCTGATGGCTTAATCTACGGTGCTTACGTCCCTATCCAGATTCGTGTAGTTGACCGAGGCTTATTCACCAATCAAAGGCGTAAGGTAGCTAGGAGGGAAACGAGGGCAGCGCGGTTGCGGGTACGTGATCCTCATGGACTTTCCGGACAACAGATTGAACTTTTCGCGAACCGAGCAGTTTTTAACTGGGAGGTGGGAATGAAAAGAGTACGAGTCACTCTAGTATCGCGGAAGCGGAAAGGCACTTCTGCTCAATGTCGGTAGGTTATTCCGGGACGACGCGTCAGATCCAAGGTATAATTGACTAGAAAACCGCGAGCTTACGCTATGCAATAACCTTTTGCGATAGCCGTCCACTGCAACTGTAACTGAACCACCTCATTTCGGCGTGATCGGTATAGAAATAAGCATACCGTGGAAGTAGTGACGAGGACGTGCTAATATGTTGTGCGGCACCCTTTTTCGCTCTTTTTTTGTAGTTTGCTTGTGGATCCGACGGCCAAAACCGCTGTTTGTCGGTTGGTAGGATCAGTGCATCTGGCGCTCGCTCTTCCCTGTTTCAGCATTCCACATTATGACGAGTCAACGCGAGGATTCCTTGGGAATGTGGAAAGAGTGAGAGAGTGGGTAGCAGCAGGGCTGTGTGAGTGGGAAATGCGGCCAGCCATGCTAGTTGGAACACACACGGAGAATACTGAACACTTCTGGCAGAAGAATTCAGGTTGAAGAAACGGGAGGGGAGAAAATGACGGAAGGAAAAATGCGGGAGGAAATTTGGGAGGAGAGGTTTGCGGGACAACACTGGGAGGAATTGAGGGGCATTGGATTGGCAGAAGACATTTCGACGAGGACGACTCGGTAGGCGGCTCGTGCGATGCCGACGCGATCGCTGACAGAATCAGGTTGCCGCCTAGTCGGTGCAAGGTACACTATAATGGTGTGAATTCTGTGAGTGTTACACATTTCCAAGTTCTTCTCTTTAGAAGCAATTTGAGTGGACTGTTATAGCAATACATCTCCGTACTGTAAATCAGTCATCCAGGAGTTCTTTTGGATTGGCTGAACGCTGAACCAATCGATGTGGCATGGGCAGCATCCAGCGTGGCAGAAATCATCAATGAGCACCCACCCACGAACCTGGTCGTGAGTTCTTCATTGGCTGGCCCCGCTTGTCCTGGGGTGGATACATCTCGGCAAAAGGCCGAAACAGTTCCATTACCACCCGTGTTGTGTTGATCCTTGTGTCTCCTGAACAGAAACCTGAGGGTGCTATAGTTGGGCAGCTCGATGATGGACCGTTGGATAGGCCGATTTCTGGTATCCAACGATCAAAATCCAGCGAGTTACAGTTACGATATTTCCCGCCGAGATTGATTGAATACAAACCAATGGGTACGAACTTTACCACGAATGATCATCCTCCCAAACCTCACCTCGATAGTATCACCAGTGCGCCATTCATTTCGTAAGAGAAATTCTTCCCGAAACACTTGAATGAAATTCTCCAAACTCACAGACCTCCGTCGGCCCTCGAGACTGGAGAGACTAGGCTGGGGCCGACCAGGAGCAGCAGGAGGAGCTGGAGGAGCACCATCCTTGGAACTTGGAAGATAGCAAACCTAGGGAGTGACGAAGAATACATTTCAGCAACATCACACACGTTTCTGTTCATTTTCAACGAGAAGCCGTAGCTTGAAGAGCTTAGCACGCGACATTCTGGATTGCTATAAGCTGCGTGTTCCTTTTCCTTGATCTCCTGTGGTTCTGTTATTCCTCAGGAGAACAACGAGCCGTAGTATTAGCAATAGAACTAGAAATTCTTGGCGTCATAGGCTGGTTTGATGATCTCCACATCGCTCCATCGCCGCGGCTGTAGCAAAAACATTTACCGATGAAGCAGGCGTTTCACCAGCCTCCGTTTCACCCTGATTCGAATCCGTTTTCGGCAGCAAGCCAAGGATATTGGGGAGGGATGGACAATGCAGCATACCAGTCAAGCTACACGGTAACTTTGATCGCCAAACAGGAGCAAAAACGTCGTTATCGCGAGAGTTGAGGCTCCTGATTCAGCTCGCACCGATTCCGACACCCACGAGATCTCTCTTGGCTTGCAATGCAGGCTGTTACTGATTCTCTCGTTTCAAAATTTGTGTTCGTCTGCCTTTTTTTCTTCGCCTAAGCAGCGTGACACGCAATGGAGGAGCGCTACCGCTATCCCTAACGGGAGGATGGGGAGCGTGGTCGGATTGGGTGACGCTGCGATTGGAGCCGCTATCAACGCAACGGCCGTGCTGGCAACGGCAGCGCAGCATTCCGCCGCAGCCGTTCCCTACCACGTCCAGGACAGGACAGCAGGTGAATCCGATGTCCGAGTCGCCTCTTTGCTTCGTTCAGTGAGCAATGCAGCATTCCGCAGCCATCCCTTACCACGTCCAGGACAGGACCGCAGGTGAATCTGATGTCTCACTCGCTTCGTGATTCAACTCAGTGAGCAATGCAGCATTCTGCACCCGTTCGTTATTCCGTCCAGGACAGTACAGCAGGTGAGTCCGATGTTTGAGCCGCCTTTTAAGTCGATTCAGTGAGCAATGCAGCATTCTGCATGCATCCCTTACCGCGTCCGGAACAGGACCGCAGGTGAATCCGATGTCTGAGTCGCCTCTTTGCTTCATTCAGTGAGCAATGCAGCATTCCGCAGCCATCCCTTACCACATCCAGCACAGTACAGCATGTGAATCCGATGTCTGAGTCGCTTCAAGCAGCAATGCAGCCATTCTGCAAGCATCCCTTACCATGTCAGGGGCAAAATAGCAGGGGCATTCGCGACTTGATAAACCAGGCTGCTTTTGAGGGCGCCTCAGAATGAGGTGCCTCAAAATTATATCCCTAACCACGTCCGGCGCAAAATAGCAGATGCAATCGCGACTTGATAAACAAGGCTGCAGATCTGGAGGTCCGGATCGTTCCGACCTGAACCTTTGGGTTCGTTCCAGGACGTGACGCTGAATCTGGATGATGATATTGACGCGTCTTCCTGCAGAGAGTTCAGTGCTACTAGCGGATCACGATTTCCGGCATGTCATCTTATGTAATCGGCTTTTTTGCTTTTTTTTTGCGTGCTTTGGCTCCGCGCAGGTGGGTGGTCTCAAGCGGAAATATCCGTCCCTTATTCCCAGGCCTATCCCGCTTCCACTGTCAATGCAGCAGCTGCTGCTGCTGCTGCTGCTGCTGGCGCTGGTGCGTCGTCGAGGATACACCACCAGCTAGCATACCAACAACCGCCACAGAAAGGTCACCACCATTTGCCGTCGCACCTTGAGACGTCTCAAAAGTCGTCTGCAGCTGCTGCTGCTGCTGCAGATGCTACGTCGAGGATGCACAACCAGCTAGCGTACCAACCACCGCCACAGAAAGGTCACCACCATTTGCCGTCGCACCTTGAGACGTCTCAAAAGTCGTCTGCAGCTGCTGCTGCTGCTGCAGATGCTACGTCGAGGATGCACAACCAGCAAGCGTACCAACCGCCGCCACAGAAAGGTCACCACCATTTGCCGTCGCACCAGCAGCACGTGCAGTTTCAACCGCAGCACCAGCACCACCACCACCAGCAGAACCTGCACCAGCAGCAACACCAACAGCACCAACAGCAGCAGCCGCACCAACAGCAGCAGCCGCACCAACAGCAGCAGCAGCAGCATTTTCCGTTTCAGCAGGAAATTCATCTGCAGCAGCAACAGCAAGCAGTGCAGCCGTACCAGCAGCAGCAGCAGCAGCAGCCCCTCGAGTATCATCATCAGCAACAGCAGCAACAGCAGCAACAACTGCAACTGCAACAAGAGCAGCAAGAGCTACCACATCAGAAGACAAACACAAGATTTCTGCAGCCACATCAGAAGCAGCAACCTTCATGCAGATTCGACAATTCCCTCGGTAAAGAGTAGGGGGGGAAGGAGCGCAGAGGTCGCTCAGAGAGTTAAGTGTGTGAATCGGATTCTGGTGTCATCTGTGCTTTCAAGTTTCAACCCAGCGTTTCGTCTTGTTCCTTCCCGCCTCTTTCCTTGCTATCCGCACCATTGGCACCAACCTCAGGGTTCTTAAGTCTTCACATGCTGAACTCATTCATTCTCAGGGTTCATCCATATGCTGCCGTCCTTTTCACCCTGCTGTTGCCAACCGTTGTTGCTCGTAATCAGGGCTGCTGACTCGGAAGTTCATCGATCTCATCAAGGCCAGTCCCGACTGCTCCGTGGATCTCAACGTCGCTGCTGCCTCCCTCAGTGTGCGTTCCCCTTCCCTGGTGTTAACACCAATTGTCTCATTGCTCCGAATGTTCTGTCTCCTCTACCTGGCGACTTCGCATCAAGGCCAGCCCTGACTGCTCTGTCGACCCCAACGTCGCTGCTGCCTCTCTCTGTGTGCGTTCCCCACTCCTGGTAGACACCCATTGTCTCATTGCTCCGAACGTTCCGTGCTCTTTACCTGGCGGGTCGAGTCAGGGTCAGCCCGGACTGCTCAACATGGCCCTCCCCTTGCTCCTCACCCCACCCCTACCCTGTTTTCATGTTTGAAGGTGCAGAAGCGGCGGATCTACGACATCACCAACGTGATTGAGGGGATTGGGTTAATTGAGTGTGCTTCCCCTGTTCACATTTCCCCACCCCCAATCCCAACCCTGCCCCCACCCCCACCCCCCAACCCCACTCTCACCCTCACCCCCACCCCCACCCCTGCCCCTAAACTCTGTTCGCGCCTGCAGGTGCAGAAGCGGCGGATCTACGACATCACGAACGTGCTTGAGGGGATTGGGCTGATTGAGAAGAAGGGCAAGAACATTGTGCGCTGGGCGTGAGTGCAGGGGAAGGGGGGGGGGGGGGGGGGGGGATGAGTGTATGGAAAGGGGATGGGGGGGACGGTGATGTCTTAAAGTGAGGGCATTGGGTTCATTGAGAAGAAGGGCAAGAACATTGTGCGCTGGGCGTGAGTGCATGGGAAGGGTGGGGGGGCGGGTTGCGTGCTTGAATGGGGATGGGGATGAGGGGCTGATTGAGAAGAGGGGCAAGAACATTGTGCGATGGGCGTGAGTGCATGGGAAGGGGGGGGTGTGTGAGTGCATGAGGAGGGTGTGTATTGTAGGGAGGGTGCGTGCTGGTTGGGGATGAGGAAGGTGCGGTAAGATGAGGGCATTGGGCTGATTGAGAAGAGGGGCAAGAACATTGTGCGATGGGCTTGAGTGCACAGGAGGGTGGGGGTGAGTGCATGCGAGGAGGGGGGGATGATTGCGTGGGGGGGGATGGGGATGGTGAGCTTCTGTGGGGACTGTGTGAGGCAGATCTCTGAGGCATATCAAAACTGTGTGCTCCAGCCCCATTTTCCACGTGTAAACAGAGTAGTTTTGAGACGTCTCAAAACTACTCTGTTTACACTGAGGCATATCAAAACTGTGTGCTCTGGCCTCATTTTCCGTACTGTGGTGGACATGGAGGTTGGGACTTCTTCATACTATCTACTCCGACCCCCCTCCCTGTGCTGTGCTTGTGTGAGACAGAGGGATGAACCTGCAAGGGGAGGGAGCAACACGGATGCAACACGACGTGAGCAGTGCCCAGGTGCGGTGCGGTGCTTTGCAATGGTGGGGGGCATAGGCGAAGGGGGGGGGGAGGATGGGGGATGCGGATGGATGGGGATGGATGGTGGAGGGAAGGTGGGGGAAGAAGGGGAGAGAGAGGGGTATGAGCGGATGAGGCATGGTTGGGGAGGGTTGGGTGTTATTTATTTGACTCTGCCGTGTTGCCTTTTTCTCTTTCCCAACCTCCGCCCCCTTCCCACGCATCCCTCCCTTCCCCCCCTTTCCACCGTTCTCCCCCTTCCCAACCCGCCTTTCCACCCCTTTACCCTTTTGCCCCCTTTCCCCCCTTCCATCCTTCTCCCCCTTCCCAACCCGCCTTTCCACCCCTTTACCCTTTTGCCCCCTTTCCCCCCTTCCATCCTTCTCCCCCTTCCCAACCCGCCTTTCCACCCCTTTACCCTTTTGCCCCCTTTCCCCCCTTCCATCCTTCTCCCCCTTCCCAACCCGCCTTTCCACCCCTTTACCCTTTTGCCCCCTTTCCCCCCTTCCATCCTTCTCCCGACCCCTCTGTCTCCCTGCCTCCTCCTTTCCAGTAGATTATTAAGTTCCTTCACAATGAAACATGGACCACGCACCCCACCCCCACCCCTTCCAACCACTTTCAGTTAAAACATTGCATTCTAACCGCTAACACACTCTTTTTTTTTTTTTTTTTTTGGCTCTCTTTTGTCTAGTGAAATTAGTCCATCTTCTAATTTCCACTTCCATCACACCCATCTTCCATTTCACACACGATTCCAATCAGTAGCTACTTTCCTTCTGCTCCTCGCTCCTCTGCCTCTATGCCTCCTAAGCCTCTCCTCGTCCGCCCCTCTCTATCCCTCTCTCCTTCTCTTCCTCGTTACTTCTCCCGGTGCTGACATCAGGCGCAGTTAGACGAGTTGAGGCAGCAAGACGGACAGCTAGACAAAGACATCAAGTATGCTCTCTCTCTCCCTTCTTCCTCTCCTCTATGTTTGATGACATATTATTTGATCAAATCCAATCTAATCTGATCAGATCTGGATCACATGGTGCCCTCATGCGGGAATCAAATAAAAAATATCCGTGTTGTCGATCCGTTGTGCAGTTGCTTTGTCAGAAGTATGGAGCAGGGACGTGGTGACGTGGTGACGTGGTGACGTGGTGACATAAAGTAGCCGCTCCAGACATCATGACACCAAGTCATGAGCGACTCATTCCTGAGCGACTCAACAGAATTCTCTCTCTCTCCCCTCTCTGTTACCTCCAAACACCTCCTCACAGGGCCATGCAGGAGCAGCTGCGGGTGTCGAGCAATGATGGGGAGAAGAAGCAGTGGATGTTTGTGACAGAGGATGATATCAAGGGGCTGCCATGCTTCCAGGTAGAGAGTGTGACTCTTCTGGGTAGATAGTTGTGCGACTTGTGGGGTGCCTAGATGGGAAAGAGAAAGCAGTGGATGATCCTGACAGAATATGACACGAAGGGGCTGTCCTGCTTCCATGGAGGTAGTAATGCGACCTTTGGGGTTTCCTAAGCGGGGAGAAGAAGCAGTGGATGTTCGTGACAGAGGATGATATCAAGGGGCTTCCATGCTTTCAGGTAGATAGTGGTGCGACTTTTCCAGGTAGATTCTGGTGCGACTTCTGGAAGATCCCCAAGGGGGAAGAAGAAGCAGTGGATGTTCGTGACAGAGGATGATATCAAGGGCCTGCCATGCTTCCAGGTAGGTAGCATCCCCCCTCCCTTGCCCCATCCTCCCTCCCTTGCCCCATCCCCCCTCCCTTGCCCCATCCTCCCTCCCTTACCCCATCCTCCCTCCCTTGCCCAATCTCCTCTCCCTTGCTTCATTTCCCCCTCCCTTGCCCCATTCCCCCTTCCCCTTGCCCGTTTCCTCCTCGTGTGCCCCATCCTCTCTCCCTTGCCCCATCCTCTCTCGATTGCATTCCAGAATGAGACGCTCATCGCCATCCGTGCCCCGCACGGCACCATGTTGGAAGTTCCTGATCCTGACGAGGTGAGTCCTGATAGGGTGAGTGCTGATGATGTGAGTCCTGATGGGTGAGTCCTGATGGGTGAGTCCTGCTGCTGGTGCTTTTTGCTGCCTTATCAATACATAGGTGCCATCCACTCCACATCATGTGCCCCTATGCCCCTCTCCCCTCTCCCCTCTCCCTCTCCCTCTCCCCTCTCCCCTCTCCCCTCTCCCCTCTCCCCTCTCCCCTCTCCCCTCTCCCCTCTCCCCTCTCCCCTCTCCCCTCTCCCCTCTCCCCTCTCCCCTCTCCCCTCTCCCCTCTCCCCTCTCCCCTCTCCCCTCTCCCCTCTCCCCTCTCCCCTCTCCCCTCTCCCCTCTCCCTTCTCCCCTCTCCCCTCTCCCCTCTCCCCTCTCCCCTCTCCCCTCTCCCTTCTCCCTTCTCCCCTCTCCCCTCTCCCCACCACCCACCTTCCCAACCCACTTGTCACATGCCCCACCATCACCCCTTCCACCCGTCCACCAGGCAGGCAGAGCGCACAGCGGCCCATCGCCATGCAGCAAGCGGTATCAGATCCTGCTGCGCAGTGCCAATGGCCCCATTGACGTCTACCTCGTCAGGTACGACCACACGCTCCTTCCTGTGCCTTGGTGGCTTTTGAGTCGACTCAAAAGGCCATAGCCATGCAGCAAGCGGTATCAGATCCTGCTGCGCAGCGCCAATGGCCCCATTGACGTCTACCTTGTCAGGTATGACCACACCGTCCTGCCTCTGCCTTGTACCCTGTCTTTTCCCCCCTTCCACTCCTCCCCCATTTCCACTCGCTTTCCTCCCACCTCTTTCCCCTCCTCCCATCTCCGTCCCTCCCAATCCCTCTCTATCATTCCCCTCTCCCAGATTATACCTCTTTCCTGCCTTCCCTCTCCACCCCCCGGGCTCCCAACCTCCCTATTTCTCACTCGGTCTCCACTCAGCTGCATTCTGTGATCCCTCATTCTTAAGGTCCTTTCTCTGACCTCCCTATTTCCCTTATTCAGCTGCTCTGTTTCCTTTTATTTCTGAGGCGCCCCATAGCTAAGCTCTCTCAATCTCGTTTGCCTGTCCTGTCCCTGTGCATCCCCAGCCGGTTTGAGGAGAAGTTTGACAGTGGCACCGACCACACCACCCCTGCTGCTGCACCTGCTACTGGGAATGCAACTGAGGGAACAGAGAGTGCTGCAGCGGAAGCAAGACCAGCAGCAGCAACAGCAACGACTGCTGGAGAAGCGGCAGCAGCAGCAGCACCAGCAGAAGGAGGAGGAGGCGGCGGAGGGGGAGTAGGACAGGAGGGAGCAACTATGGTAGCAGGGGTGGGAATAGACTCAAGTCCTGGTGGTTGGGGATGTGGAGAGGGGAGGGGGGGTGAAGGCGGAGGAGCTATGGGTATGGGGGATGGGGAAGGGGACATGTGGATGACAATGCCAGGAATGCCAGGGGACGCGGCTGGACCAATGAGAGTCGTTCCCGCCGAGCCAGTGGTGAGTGCGGCAAGGCTGGAGATGCTATTGCATATCAAAAGCTTTCTTGCACCACTTGACTGTTTTCGGTTAGGGAGCGGATTGATTCTTCTTGTTAATGCTTTCCTTCATCTTGTACGTACATTTATTGGTTTGTCATATGGTAGCTTGCCCCTTAACCTACTTGCTTTTATCGTGCCACATGCTTCCCCTATCTGCCCATAATGCAGGATTATTGGCTTTTGTCCGACAATCACTTGGGCTTGACTGATATTTGGCGGACTGATCCACCGTGAAAGTGCTATTTGTGTAGTACTTCCTAACAACTATACAGTTTGGAACCATAGTCGCGTGAGGTGCTTGCAGCTGTTTGTAAAAATACCGCGTGAAGGCAACAACGAAGCACTACAGCACATTTGGGCAACTTGGGCAGCTTCCGCCAAACCAACAGCACCGATGGTTGATGCAATTACAGTATCATACCAAATCTTGCGATCGAGGCACGGGAGGATCTCCCCATTTGATTTCGGACCACCATACAGCTGTTTGGGCTGGCAAAGCAGAACAGAATTTTGCCCGTGGAGCTCCGATCAACGGCCTCAGGTTGTTCGATGCCTTCCGGGCTTGTCATATTCCTCGTTCACATGCCCCAACAGCTGTCATTTGTTTGGTCAGTTTCCGCGTTGTTCTGTAATTTGTACTGTAGGTCTCGAATCGGTCATCCTGAAAGTTGTGGAGCAGCAGGAAACACGAGTTCCCTGAAGTGATTGATCCTTCTAGAACCTGGAACTTCTGGTTGTGTTGTGTACACTCCAAGTCCACTATCAAACGGGCAGGACAGGTGTACAGTGTGTCGATGTTTGCTGGTGCCTTCTGGGCTGGACCTGGACTTGGTTCGGTGGAGCCAAGGGAAAGCCGACAAAACCGCAGCCCCGCGTGCAAGTCGACTGTAGTGGACGTGTACAGTAACATTAACTCGACCTTTGACTCAACGAATCAGTGACCGCATAACCACCACCATCATGGCTAACGGACCTCATGCTCATCCCCTCCATGCCAGCTTTCAATCACCCCACCCCTCACTTCACATCTCCCTCACACTTTCCCTCTCTCTCACACATCACCCTCACACACCTCGCTCTTGCTCCTCATGTTTCGATTCATGGTTCGCCCTTTCCCAAACCTCATTCCCAGCCTGCCTCATTCATGTCTGACCAACGAAGCCCTCTTCACGAATCCTTGCTCGACCATTTCAAGTGAGCGTTCTTTATTCACGGCTCCCACTCCGTCTAGTGACTTCTTCGCAGTTCTCTGCACTCGTTCGTGACTTCCACCTGCCGTCATATTCATAATTCGAAAAATATTTACGCAGATGTCGATAGTTACTGCGCACAGTCCTCCCCATTCGATTATTAACGAGCAGATTACCACTTCCAGATTCTCCTCGGCACCACGTCGTCCGGCTGTCAAACGTCATAACTCCATGCGCAAATCCTTGGAACCGTCGATATCACTGAGTCGCAACCCCTCCGTTCCATCCAACGGCCCTGGAGGAGAGTCTGTTCAACGCTCCCCCATGGAGGAAGTGTGGAATTTCTCAGGTCCTCCCCTTTCAGACTCAAACCCGTCGTCATCTACGGCTGCTCCATTCAGCCGTCACAGCTGGTCGTCAGGATGTGACAGCCGACCGTCAACTGCTGACGGCCGCAGTTCACCGTCAATGACGGCGTCACCAGTTCGTTTTCTCCGTCGGCATGCGTTGACGGGGACGCACCTCCAGAGAGCTTGCAGTACTCCACCGCGAGGTCGGTTAGGAGCAGGCGGACCGTTTGCACGAGCTGGGGATATTCTCAAGGAGGAAGTGGCTCATGAAATTTAGCAACATTGATTCGTTTGGGCGAGTTATGGTGGAAGGAGGTAACGAGAGTACCAGACGAGCCTACATCGGCATGACAAGTGGTTGCTATCAACCGTAATCATTCTTTTCGTCTCTGTGTAAACCAATAATGTGTACCCTATAATGCCCACAAAATCTGCTGTTGCCTTACATGTTATACCAGAAACAGTCCTTGCGAATGTCATAGGGTTTTATATTATAAAGAAAGGGGTACTTGTGAATGGCTCCACGTGTAATGCCCAGGGCTATTATAATGGCGGTTACAAGGCTTTTATAATATTCCAATACAAAATAGTAGCTTTAACTAGCCTTAATAGCCTTGGAGATGAAGATCTTCTTGATGCCTTTGATGAAAAGCACTTGGAGTAGTAGTGTAGGGAGACTTGTGAGAGAGCCAAAAAGGACTTAGAGAAACAATCCCATTTCCAATTGTTTTGTTGGAGTGGGAGGTTGAGAATGAGCTTGCTTAGCTCAGACCCCCTCAATACACCCCTTGGGGAACTATCCCAACCATGGTTTCCATGGTGGGATGGTTCCTAGGCTTGGAGCCTATGTGGCAATTGTGTTGGGTTGGAAAACCCAACTTAGAACCATTCAATGGTTGTGTTTAGGATAGAGTAGATTGTAACACTTGTTTGGCAGTTTCTGATTGGTTGGAATTCCAACCTTCAACATTCTCTTGGTTGAGTTGGAAATGTTCCAAACCTCCAATGTTGAGGCTTGGCAAACCCAAACCAATTTTCATCCCAACCAACTCAACCATCTTCTCCAACTCTTCCTTTGTCGAGAGAAGTTCTCAACAATTGACTTAGAGAGAGATCGATGGTTGTTAGCTCGGTAGTTAGGGTAATACGTTACACTCCTCCCCCCCCAGGTGGCAACGTCCCCGTTGCCCTAGGGTGCTTCTGAGGACGAGTGCTTCGAGCACGGCGCACCACATTACGACCAGGGTCAACCCCGTCCACTGGTTGTGGGCCTGCTCGTAGAGCCAGGTCTTCCATATACGCTTGAACCGCTGCTTCGGTCAAGTGTTCCTCAGGCTCCCAAGAGTTGTGTTCCGGCCCATAGCCTTTCCACTGAATTAGGAACTCACGAACAGTTTTGCGGCCGCGTTGTCGATCACGGTGCGTTAGCACACGCTCGACTTCGTAAAAGAGTTCCTTCTCGAGAGCGATGGTTGGTGGCGGTAAGTACTTGCCTTCTGCAACGTACTTATTCAACAGAGATTCGTGGAAGACGTTGTGAATCTGCAATGTCGCAGGCAATTTGAGCCTATATGCGACCTCACCAACACGCGCAATCACCTCGAAGGGCCCAATCCAACGAGGGAAAAGCTTTCGTGCTCCCGGGATCTTGAGACGAATGTTCTTCGTACTCAGTAATACTTTGTCGCCAACTGCAAAAACGACTTCCCGGCGTTTCATGTCGGCATAGGATTTTTGCCTCTGTTGGGCAAGCTGCAGCCAATGGCGAGCGGACTTCAATGCCACTTGCTGATTTCCAATAAAGTCCTTTGCGGCAGGGATTGTGAGGTTCTTAATCCCATGCGTCGCGGGGGTTGTGGGGTGCCGACCACAGTTCAGGACAAAGGGTTTCTCATGGGTGCTTTCATGCACAGAATTGTTTACAGCGAATTCCACGACTGGCAACAATTCATCCCAATCGTCCTGAGTTGGGCTTATGAAAGAACGAAGCATTTGCTCAAGAGTGCGGTTGGTCCGCTCTGTCTGTCCATCCGTTTGCGGGTGGAACGCAGACGACATCTTGAGTTTCGTTCCGAGTGTCTTAATGACCTCTTGCCAGAACCGGCTTGTGAAGCGCGGGTCTCGGTCAGACACCATCACACGAGGCAAACCGTGTAAGCGGAAAACGTGTGTCACAAACAACTTTGCCGTATCTTCCGCAGACACGTCAGTCGTCGTGGGCACGAAGTGCACCATTTTGGTCAAGCGATCCACAAACACTAGTATCGCTGTATGACCATCTCGCGTCTTGGGGAGATCGGTGATAAAATCCATCGATACACTCTCCCAAGGTTCATCGGGAATCTCAAGTGGTTGAAGCAGACCACCAGGCTTCTGTGTGCTCGGCTTGTTCCGTGCACACGTGTCACAGCGAGTTACAAACTGCTGGACCTCAATGCCCAATCCCGGCCACCAGTATACATCACTGAGGGCCCACCGGGTTTTCTTGACACCCAGGTGTCCTCCATACTTAGTGGCGTGCACCTCTGCGAGAATATCATTCCGCAGGTTTCCCACATGTGGGACTACAATTTCTTTCTTGTGCCACCAGAGCTCATGCTCCCACAAGAGATTGTTTGTATTCTGTGGGTTCTGAAACCAAGGGTCAATATCATACCCTGCGCGGATGCGTTTCAGAAAACCACCAAAGCCAATCTCGCTCACTCGAGCAGCTGCGAGGATGTTGAAACAAGCAGCAAACACAGCTTCATGTTCCTTATCATCAACACCAGTTGCTGCCCCAATCGGCTGTCTGCTCAGAGGATCAGCCATGTTCGTCGAGCCCGCTCGATATCGAATATCGTAGGTGAACCCACTCAGGAGTTCAGCCCATCGAGCTTGACGGCGGGT